AACACTCTATTACAACCTTTTTTTCCAAGATGGTATAAGCTGGATGAAGTATGTAAGTATCATAATAATGCACCTAGCCACAATATTGAAAATTGTCTTAGTTTTAAGAGGAAGGTTCAATCACTAATCGATCAAAGATGGATTTTGTTTGAGGATACTATAAATTCTTCTAATGTAAACACTAATCCATTGTCAAACCATGTTGTTATCGGAGAGGTAAACATGAAGTCTTTTGATGATGTAGTATATGATAAGAAGAGGTTAGTGTTGAAGATTTCCATGTCTAGATTGTTTTACATGATGAATGTCAATGGTTTTGATATGAGGCTTGCCTAATCATAAGCTTTTGTTCATGATGAACACTTTTGCAAGTTTCACAACGCAAGAGGACATGAAAATGATGAATGTTTTGAATTCCATCAAATGCTCTAAACTATGTTGATAATGAGGACCTTGAGGATAGAAAAGAATAAAGAAAAGCTCGAGATGAATGTGTTTCCTCTAACCATGATGTTGATCGATATGAATTCTTTTAAGTATGAGGTAAATGAAGGATCATGCATCCTATGAAGATGCGGAATAAAATAAAATTTCCTCTATCTAAAGGGCTTAAGATCATGTCGTTGAATCAACTAACTATATATTCATGAATTAAAGCTCTAAATAAAGAATTATCTCTTATAACGTAGATTTAAACCTTTACGGAAAAGAGTTATCTAAGTGTTCGATCTCTATCGATAATCCACGTAGTCTAAGCACCTACAAAAGAAACATTCAAAATTGATAGAGTGCTAACTCCATCTTTTTCGACTTTGTTTAGTATTTTTCCTTAAAAATCAAATGAGGGTAATTTTAAAATAACTCGAGAGAGAGAGAGAGAGAGAGAGAGAGAGAGGTGGTGTATGCTAAGGTTTTAGGAGAAAACCATTTTCTTTTTTTTTCGACATGATGATGCGTGCTCTTTTTTTTCTTTTCTTTCGCCAAATTTTCTCTCTCCCTAAAATCCTTATGTTTATCGCACCTCTCTCCCATATATATAGGGAGAGGCTTCCTTATCCTTCAAAGACAAGGAGGGGTGACAACTAGTCCTAACTAGACTTTTAGTTATTGCTTCCTAATCCTTCAAGGATTATGAGTTATTTTACATGTGGGCTTTTGTGATCTTATCTTTAAAACATTCATCCTTATCCAATAAGATTCATGTTTATCCTCCCACCAAAACATCTTTCGGGCTTTTAATTAAGCATGTTGACCCAAAACTATTTTGGCCAAATTAATTAATTTGGACTATCCAAATAAATTAAGTTAGATAATTTTAAGTGACCCGTATTAGAAAATAATTTCTCAAATTACCCTTAAAACCTAAATTAGAAATATAATTTTTATTTTAGTTTATTTACTTCTAAATTTGGAACTAAATTCTAAATCGTGAAACTAAATTCCAAAATAGAAAAATTTTTATTTTAGAAAACTTTCCATTTAAGGAAACTTTCCATTTTCAAGGAAACCTTCCATTTTCAAAAATAGGAAACTTTCAAAATTGAAAAATTTTTTCAACTTCTTTGCTTCTCTTTAATCATATGAATACTTAAACTTATACGTGTGACTCAATAGGCTTTTAAATATGCTCGGTAATATATCAATAACAAAAGACACATCTTTTATCTCTTGATACATAAGTCAAGATTAGCTTCAGGAACCCATCATGACTATCCAATTTTCTAGGAGGATTAATTAATTTGTAATTACCTTTCACGAGCATGGTTACCATATAATTCAGTCCTTATGTCAACTTATAATAGTCGATCTCGAACTTGGTTATTAGTCTTGTTTGATTATGATCACACAAGTTTTTTTCGATTTCCAAATGTCTTAGCTCGTAGAGTAAATCAACTATACTCTAATGGTGTACTCCTAATATGGCCATAGATTTTTTGAGCGGACATTTATCGAAAAGTAATATGATAACCCATTTAGTATATAAGGAATGACATGTCCTATCCGAGTTATCCACTGAACTCCATTAGATTTCTAGAGCACCCAACGAATCACCCACGTGCAACCCTTCATTAGGTTCATCAAAATGAGTGTCAAAGTATACAAATCATCCAATGAGATAACGGTAATGACTTCAAGTCTAAGGACTAGATGAACCCATCTCGTATGAGATTCTTATAAACTAAACCAAATGGGTTATCATGACGAGTCATAGTCTAGTGATATGTTCTTTAACATAAATCACCTAAGTGTTTGCTTTGGCATTATCATGTCAATAGGTATGAGATCTCTTACTCGTTATCATATAGTATGAGCATAACACTTACAAGTCTAACCATATCTAGTCAATGTCCATTTTTAATAATACTACGACTTAGGACATTTAATAATATCATTTATATGCATTAGTGTTTGTCTCATATCTTTCAATCAACTATCAATGTAAATGCATGTCATAAGGACTTCTATCTACTTTTACCGAATAGATAAACATAAAACATAAGAATTAATAGAATGACTTTTTTATTATTAATAAAATAAATGATGTAATAATACAATAACTCAAATCTATCCAAACATAATTGGATCTTGGGCACTTACATTAACATTAAATGGAATAGACCCCATAGAGTTGGTCCTAAAAGCACTCGCTCCAATAAATGTTGATTATCGAGCTATTTCTTATAAGTATGGACCTTCTGTTTGTTCGACAAGTCACATACTATTATGAAGATTTTTCTAATAAAATAGTTGATATTGGGTGAGTTACATGTATAGGGAGGTGTTTTACCCTTGAAGAATTGAGAATAATGAAAGGAAAAGATGTTGAGTCATTTTCCGTGAATGTTGAAGTGAATAAGCCTATTGATGATGAGAAGATTTTGAAATTTTTAAAATTAATGAAGTATAGTGCATATAGTGTGGTGGACCAACCTGAATAAGTAAAAACATGCCAATAGTCTTTCCAACATCATATTATATGTTGAAGCTTAATTAGTTTATTACTATGAAGTTGACCATTATTTTACTCTGTATAGATGGATTTTCAATACTAAGTGGGAATGAAATAACACCTATTTGGGTTATTGAATTACATGTGAAACCAAGTAATAGAAAGTTAATAGTCTTGAAAATTTTCAACCCTAACCCATCTATTTAAAGTAATCAAAATACAAGATGTCAACCACACTTTTATTGTTGATTAGTATTTTTTTTTATTGTAAAACTTGCAATGTTGGTTGTTACTACTACTAAGTCATCATAAAAGGATTGTACTCCTTTCAAATCTTTCTATTTGAAGAAAATATTTCAATGAGAGGAAGGAAAAGTAAGGGCTTTTTAGGGAGAAAGGAGTTTGGAGTGGGTGTGAATTGATGAGAGAGGAAGACCATAGTTATCCGATGATTTTGGGTGGGAGAGGTGCCGGCGGTTAGAGAGGAGAGGCTAGAAGAAGAAGAAATGAGGAAGTAGAAAGAAAATTGGGGGCTAAATTAGGAATTAAGACTAGTAATGGATGCGATCTCATCATTGTCCCTCTTGTCACCGATCTTTCACTCGTTTAGCGAGAAACTTAAGTGTTTGTCGCTAATCCTTTGTAAAATGGTGACCAATTAATTTTCATTTTTTTACAACTAGCGTCGCTATTTAGTAATGAAAATTAATTTTTTGTCACTAATCCTTCGCAAAATGGGTGGTCAATTAATTCCGGAAGACCACCCATGTTTTATAACTAGTCTCGTCGCTAATTAGTGATGAAAATTAAGTTTTTGTCGCTATGCTCGTCGTCGGATGGATGACTCTTTAATTTCAAATGGCCACCCATTTTTTCAGATTTAGTAATAGATTTGGCACTTGGATAATCCATCATTAACCCAAAATATTACAAATAGCGATGGAACAGAAACCTGTCATAGATTTTTGTAGCAATTCCATTGCTGACCTCTCTCTAAAAAATCCAAGAGGATTTTGGCACCACAAATAGAAACGAAATATTATCCGTAGCTGATAATCCATCGTCAAACCATATCTATCCGTTGCTAAATCAAATAGATGCTATTCGATCTCTATTTACTTGATATTTAACAATGGTTTTTAATTGATTGCTATTCTTTGATTTTCTTATAGTGCGCAGTTCGTCGTGATACACAACTCACTTTTCTTATTCTGGTTACTACTAGCTGTTAACAGTAACCTCTGGCTACCTAATCACTTATGGTAAAACTATAGAATCATATATCTAACACAATACACAATAAATATAACTCAAAATCAAAATCATATTTCAAAAATCATACCTATCGGATTCTAAGTCTTTTACTCAGGACTCAACCAGGAATTCGTTTTTTGACGTAATAAAGGAGAATCATCTAAAATCTGGCATTGCATGCTGAACTTCTCCTTCAAAAGGCCCACGTAAACCGACTATTTCATTTCCATTGATTCAGATGCTTCCTTCCCTGTTTAAATTTTCATGTGGAAATGACTCCCACTTGTATAAATTGGTGTCTTGACAGCAAGTGAAAGATAATATACTTTAATGGGAAATCGATCAACCAATTGATCATATGGAGATGACCTCAACCTGATATATATTGTGAAATCTCAACCGTCCATTATGATGATAAGGTTAGATGAACGTGAGGTAGAAAAAACGGTGTTCATTCATTTTTCTGTTCATGAAAAATTGTATACCACCCTATAATACTTGCTCAAGACAATACTAATTCATGATAAACGTGAAAAGGACTTTATGAAGTTGCATTTAGAGTTCATTTGACATGAATTTAGATTTAGACCACATTTTAGTTCTATTTAAGGAGGCCAGGGGCAATCTGTAGAACTCAGGAACAAAAGGATAGTAGAGTAGCATCCTTAGCGTTGCTGGTTTACTTTCCTAACCATCCTCAACACCAATCTTCTTAGCCTCTCTATACATTCCAAATATCCCAATTGGTACTATATACATAGTAAGTATTTATTAAGCTTAAGAAACCATAGTTAACATGGCCCCAGGAATGCCTATAGATGCGATTTCAGGTACCGGCAAGGTTTCCACAGCTAACACTGGCTACTCTAAAAGGGCCTATGTAACATTTTTAGCCGGTAATGGGGATTATGTTAAAGGGGTAGTTGGATTGGCTAAGGGTTTGCGCAAGGTGAAGAGTGCATACCCTCTTGTTGTAGCAATATTGCCAGATGTGCCTGAGGAACACCGTGAAATTTTGAGGTCTCAAGGTTGCATGGTTCGTGAGATTGAGCCTATTTATCCTCCTGAGAACCAGATTCAGTTTGCCATGGCCTACTACGTGATCAACTACTCCAAGCTCCGCATTTGGAATGTAAGTTAAAACAATATTTTATGCATTAACATTATTTTATAAGCTCATAATACGAAATTTCTAATCAATGACTCTTCTTTTACGTACATATAATAATATATTAGTTAATACAGTACCAATAGACACTTCTTGCTACAAATTAAAACATGGAGTATATATATTCAAATTGATATGAGTTTTCTGTATAATTTTATTTTAAAACAAGCTATTGATTTTGAAAGCATCGTGTTCATAATTAATGAGGTATTTTAACTTTGTATCTCAAGTAATTAATGCTTTCGCGGGAGGGTAAATATATATATATAATGATGTTTCCCAGAGCTTGAATTTCAAAACCCCACCATTAATTTATATATAATCAATCCTAATTTGTATAATTAATCAGGCTTAAACAGATACTATTTGTTTCACATGGCCATAATTTGCTAATTAATTAATCAGCACCTCAACCTCCCATTCCTTGCAAAATACGGCCTAAACATGATTCGCCTTTTCTTTTTGTTGGGTGGCGACCCAAGTTTGGTTGCCAAAAGTTGGTTGTTTATGTATCAAATCGTCATATAAAAGTAAATGCTTGCTTGATTTTCTTGTATGCGCAGTTTGAGGAGTATAGCAAGATGATATATTTGGATGCTGATATCCAAGTGTACGAGAATATAGACCATCTGTTTGACACCCAAGATGGCTACTTCTATGCCGTGATGGACTGCTTCTGTGAGAAAACATGGAGCCACACCCCCCAGTACTCCATCCGCTACTGCCAGCAGTGTCCAGATAAGGTGAACTGGCCTGCTGAGATGGGCTCTCCTCCTCCCTTGTACTTCAATGCTGGGATGTTTGTCTTTGAGCCTAGTCGTTTGACTTATGAGAGCCTTCTTGAGGCTCTCAAGATCACCCCACCAACCCCATTTGCCGAGCAAGTAAGTCATACCTGCATCAAAACCACACACACACACACACACATATATAAACACGTACATATAACTTATATAATAAATAGAACCTTCAATCGATGGAATAACAAACAACACCTTGTTATTTTCTAAGTTTCTGATTTACTTGCGGATATGACAGGATTTCTTGAACATGTTTTTCCGAAAAACATATAAGCCAATCCCTCTGGTGTACAACCTGGTTTTAGCCATGTTATGGCGACATCCTGAGAACGTGGAGGTCGAAAAGGTTAAGGTGGTTCACTACTGTGCTGCTGTAAGTATCTTTTTGTTAATTTGAATCATATCAAATACTATATTAAATTCTTAAAGCCAATCAACAAATTACATGTGTTAACTTTGATTAACTCTTTTTTCTCTTCTATTTTTGGAAAAAAAAAAAAATAGGGTTCAAAACCTTGGAGATATACTGGCAAGGAAATTAACATGGACAGAGAGGACATCGAGATGTTAGTGGCAAAATGGTGGGATATATATAATGATGTGTCCCTCGATTTCAAGGGTGAAAACTCAGTTGCAGAAGAAGAAACATTTTCGAGGTCATCCATCTTGTCTTCCATGCCTGAGCCTGCCATTTCATACATATCGGCACCCTCTGCTGCTTAAAATTTCTTAATTAAGAGAGTTTGAAAAATTGGTGTAATCCCATCCTTCCTTTAATTTTCTCTTTCATTATATACCTCTTTTAGGCTACTTGGCCTAAATATTATTTTCTCGTTCTATGACTTGAGATGCAAGATACTACGGTATTAATTATATGAAGTGCTATTACTGTATTTGAACTTCAAAAGCAGTTTATGGCTTACCTATATAACAAAGGCAATGTAGAAAAAGCCAGAAAAGTTCCAAGTATTGTGAAGCTAATTTGTGCTTTCTCTTTTAATAAATAATTAGACACTATCTTTCTTTTTTAATTCCTGTTCTCTCTTTCTTCTTCTTTTTTTTTCTTTTGACGAACTGTGGAGTCTATCTAATCTTAATCTTGAGTTATACAAAAGTAGCCATCCGTCAATCAAGTCTTAGGATTTAGGAAATGCTGTCGGCTTTAAGGGCCGTTCTTTTTAAGTACATTTGCACTAAAGTAAATAATGATTTTATAGGTTTTTTTTTTCTATTAAGTCATGTAAATCAAAATTGGGTTCAATGAATAGAGATAATTACGTTATACATTTATGGCTAACTCGGAGCCATGAGGTTACAAAATGATCAATTGATATTTTAATTTTGTGGCAGCATTAGTCCCTCGTATCCAAATCAGTTGAAATTGATGTTGAGTACAAAAAGGAAGGAAACGTGGCATTTTATGATAGGTTAATAATTTTTTTTTTTAACATTTGCGCAGTCCACCACGATCATTGAATAGCCGGTTAGAATGTTAAAATAATAATTAGCAAAATAAGAAACTCTTATTATCAAGACATGAATTGAATCCATTATCATTATAAAAGATAAATAAAATTTTAGGCAAAATAGTAGAAAATTCTTTTGAATTTGAGGGGGGGGGGGGGACAAATGCTAGCAAAAAAATTCTTGTTGTGAAAAATAAAAGATATATGAGAATTTAAAGGAAGGATGACAAGAAGAAGAATTCACTATAAAGTGAATACAAGTGAGAAAACTTCAAGTTATTCTCTTAATCTCTCTAAGAAACTTGTACATCAACAAATGAACAATCAAGCCTATTTATAGGCCTCAAAATTGAGATGAGAATTGAAAGGGATTATGAATAATTAAAAGTACATCAATTGCATCACCCTTTCAATTTCTTATATTGAATGGTGAATTGAATCACATTAAGGATCATGAGTAGTGGGGATATGAAAAGTAGATGGACATTCATTATTTTATAACACTCCCCTCGAATGTCCATTGCACAAGGAATATGCCTCATTAAAACCTTACTAGGAAAAAACCCGAGTGGGAAAAAAATCTCGAGTGAAGGAAAAAGAATACAATATTTCTTGCACACATTAATCCTCATTTTTGTCTCCCCTGTTGAAGACATTATTTAAGATCTCTAAGATGATGCATTTCAATCTTGTGAATTATCTTCGCAAAAGTTATAGTAGGTAACACCTTAGTGAACAAATCTGTTGGATTGTCACTTTGATGTATTCTTCCTTCAATGAAACTATGTAAGCGACATTATCCCATATGATATTGTTGGAACTTCTTTTGCTGATAGATAAGCCGTATATCTCTCGGATATGATGGATCGTTGATCTTAGCCAAACATATTCTCGACTTGCCTCGTGAATTGATATTTCGTATGATTTGAAGATGTGACAGCTATAGTTTGCTTCATAGAACGTCATGATATAGCTGTATCTTCATATGTAAATACATAACCAGCTTGAGATCGAGCTTTGTATGGATCAGTTAAATAAGCCGCATCCGTATAATTAATCTTGTCTTTCATTTATTGAAGTAATATCAACCCATATCAATTATTCGTCGAAGATAACGTAGTATATATTTAACTTTATTTCAATGTCTCTATATTAAAACAAAACTATGACTTGCTAACAAATTTATAGAAAATACTATATTAAGTCGAGTATTATTAGCAAAATATATCAATGCATCAATGACACTAAGACATGGTACTTCGGGACCAAGTAGTTCTTCGTTATCTTCTCGAGGTCAAAAAGGATCTTTTTAGATATCAAGTGAATGAACTATCATTGGGCTAGTCAATGAATGATCTTTATATAGAATCATTGTAGAACCTTTTTCTATATAAATTGATCGATGAATGAAAATCTCATTCTCTAAGTGCTCGAACTGCGAGTCGAGATAACATTTTGTTTTCCCAAGATATTCACATCAAATTCTCTTTTTAGGTAACTTATGACACTTGGAATCTCTTCGGGAGTTCCAATAATATTTAAGTTATCAACATATAAAACAAACCCCTTTTCAAATAAAAACATATAAACAAATAGGGTTATTTTTTATAACTTTCTTTCAATAAATAATTATTGAAGTGATTATATCACATGCACATGGATTAGTAATAAACGAGTAGACATAAAAATAAAATATAAAGAGTATAAATTAAATTTCTAAAAACCAAAATAATAAAACAAATACTAAAATAATCCTAATAGAGATCTTTATAATTTAATTGAATTCTTTTATAGATAATATATATTACATGTTTCGGCATATTAAGTCCTTCTAGGACTTTCATACCGATATCATTTCAATTAAACAAATAAACTATGATAACATTCATTAAATGCATGCATATGAATGTTTTTCATACATTTTTCCATGCTAATGAGATAACAACGGACAATTACATCCACTATAGGAGAATATATTTCCTCATAGTCAATGTCAATTCTTTATGAAAACTTTTATGTTAAAAGTTTGCTTTGTATGTTATAATCTCATCTTTCTTATTTCATTTTCATATAAATACATATTTGTATCCCACTAGCTTAACATCTTCAAGTGTTTTAGCTACGAGTTCAAAAAGCTGCTCTTTTATAAGAGAACATAATTTCGCCTAGATTGTTCTTTTTATTTAGGCCAATCATCTTTATATCGACATTCTTCAATAATTTAGGCTCGGGATCCTTATTTTCATCCATAATATCAATTACAATATCAATAGATGTTTCTTTTCGGTCTTATTTTCTCCTTGCATTGATATAATTTATCAAAATCTCTTGATTTTTCTCAAGTATTTGGACTTCTTCGGGAAGCTTATTATCGAAATATATTAGAACATTTTGTGAATATTTTTATCTTGCCTTTTTCTTATAGGGATTTTTATCTTTAGAACCGATCGGTTTTCCAAGCTTCGAGCGTGCTTTAAATTCGTTAGCTATAATATTAATAGAATATCCTTCGGGACATTAATTATAATAAGAGCATTCTTAGCGGGGATATGTATTTTAGTTACTCATTTAAGATCCGAGAATGCATCCGGCAATTGGTTTCAATACCTTATAAATGAATTATCTTTTGAACTTCTAGTTCACATTACTTCTACAAGAATCAAGGTGATATAAGATAGAGTACTTCATGTAATTTTTTTTAACATTTTTAATCGTTTATTTTGCTTATTCTCTCCCCTAATATTGAAAAAACTATTTCATCAAAATGACGAGTCGATAAATCGAGCTGTAAAAATTTCCTCTTGTTCATGAATCAAGAGATTGAATTATCGAAGAGGATTCATATATTCTCAATCTCTTTTAAGTGCACATTTTATTTCATTATAAAGGAGCACTAAGGATATACATTGCAATGCTAAAAATTCTTAAACAAGAAATAATTGGCTCATAACCATAAATCAATTAAAGAGGAGAGAATTTCTAATAACTCATGAGTCATATGCGAATAAGTGTTGCTGCATGTAAGATTGCATGTCCTCAAACATAAACAGAGAGTTTTATTTTTAAATAACGATTTAGCTATCAATTCGAGCCTTTTGATAAATGATTTTGCTAAACCTTTTTGAGTATGAACATGAGCAACAACATGTTCAACCTTTATTTTAATAGCCAATCAATAATAATTTAATGCTTGAGAAATAAATTCATCAGCATTATCAAGGTGACTTGTTTTAATGGCATAATTTAAAAATTATACTCGAAATCAAATTATTTGCTAGCAATCTCGAAAACGTCGGGTTTCGAGTAAATAATAAGCATATATATGACCATCTTGTGGATGCATTTATCAAAATCATAAAATATTTAAATGGTCCACATGGTGAATGAATTGATCCACATATATCACCTTGAATGCATTCTAAAATACTAGAGATTCAATCTCAATTTTACTTGATGATGGCTTAATCATCAATTTGCCTTGGCAACATGCGAACATGAGAAAGTTCATTAAATTGAAGAATCTCCCGGCTCTTCAATAGATGTCCATATGAATTTTTAATAATTTTTCGCATCATGAAATACCCAAGATAGCATAATTGGTCATGTCACATAATAAAAGTATTTGAATTAGTAAACTTCTGATTTACTACAATATTAGTTTCAATCATTTCAATATTTGTAATAAATACTAGAAGAGAAAACGGATAAATTTTTTTTGATAGATATTTTCTACCCGATATAATGATTATAACATATAAGAATTCGCATTTGCTATCTTGATATGATATTAATTTAGATAAATATCTTTGAAACTCAACAAATATCCATGAGACTTTAAAGAGAATAGTACATCATTCATAATAAATTTATCTTTTCGGATAATAACATATTTGCTCTTCCGGAGCTTTTAAATTAGTCACTTCAAGTAATAATATATCGACTCTTCTAGAGCCTTTAAAAATTTTCTCTTCAAGTAATAATTTATTCACTCTTCTAGAGCTTCAAAAATTTATCTCTTCAAGTCATGATATAATCACTTTTCTAGAGCCTTCAAAATCTATCTCTTTAGATAATAACATAGTCGCTATTCTAGAGCTTTCTATTATATTGATATTATCATATATAATATTAACATAAAATAAATAATCAAATAAATCAATATAAAATAAATAAAACAATATATGCCTCATAAACATAAACAAATAAATAAATAGTAAAATAAATTTGTAACCATCAATATACAACATAAATTATAAGAAATATAAAATATTTTATTTATAAATATAAAAACTAATAAGTAATTAATTTCAATTACTATTACTTTGATTTATAAAATTAGCCTCTATATTTTTTTTCTTTTTCAACGAGGTTTGACAAGGCTTGATGAGGTGCTTTGGTGTACGGTAGATACACAACTAATGTCCATTCATACCATATTTATAACATTCATTTTCAAAATGCTGACTTTATCTATTTTCATTCTTTTTTTTTTCATAGTTATCCACTTCGGTGGTAAGATGTAATATTATGGTTATCAAAATTATAATGATAATTATTTTGACAACATCCATGGCTAGGACTACATCTTCGTCCATAACTAAAATTATTATAAATTGTCACATTCACTTCGGGGAATGAAATAGATCTAATTGGACGAGATTTATTCTTTTTCATCAATAGCTTTTCATTTTATTTAGCCATGAGTAAATATGAAATCGATTCAGAATATTTCTTAAACTCTTTTTCTCGATATGCTACTGCAGGAGCATATCCAAGACATAAAAAGTAGAGAGTATTTTTTTCAAAATCAAGCACTCATAATCAATAATTCTTATTCAAAATATCAAGAGTCACCAAATCAAGTTTATAAGATTTGATGTGATAAAAATTCTATAATACAATATATAATAATAATATTAGAAAATAAGAACAAATATAATAAAATTAAAGCTTTTCAAATAACATATATTAGATCATTAGTAGATCATTTAAGTTTTTCAAATATATATTTTATGTATCAATAGATTTAAAGTATACGAATAAATTAGATACATACCTATTAATAATCTAAATAATTTAGATCTTTTGATAGAGCATTTGTGTAGAAGAAATCCAATTGTTGAAACAATTGATAAAATCTTTTGATAAATACATATCTCATGGTCTATTGTCTTAATTGGTTAGAGCTTCTTGTTGATAACGTATTATAAAATAAATAGAAATGATATGAGAATTGAAGAAAATGATGACAAGAAAATGAAATCACTATAATGTGAATATGAGTGATAAGAACTTTAAAGTTTCTCTTATTCTCTCTAGGAAACTTGTACATCAACAAATGAACAATCAAGCCTATTTATAGGCCTCAAAATTGAGATGAGAATTGGAAGGGACTATGAATAATTAAAAGTACATCAATTGCATCACCTTTTCAATTTCTTATATTGAATGGTTAATTGAATCATATTAAGGATCATGAGTAGTGGGGATATGAAAAGTAGATGGACATTCATTATTTTATAACAATTCTTGATTTTTCACCATAAATATCATAATTTTTTTAATAGAACAATAAATTAGAAAACGAGCTAACAGATTGCTACTGCACTTATTTGAACAAGTAAATTAAAAATTTATAGTAACAAGCCCTCAATGAAACAAAATCTAACATTTATAGAAGCATAAATTTGTGAGCTTGTGAATTTATTTGGGTAATTCAGTATAATTAAACAATAAATAGCCATGTGTAAAATATTCGTTAAACTCTCTTTAAACCTTCCAATTGCCCTCTTTCGCTGCCATAAGTGACATCTGAATTCACATATCTTTACCTTATGATTCTATTACGTAATAGCAATGGCATTCGTTCGGTTTCTTAATTTTATTCTCTTATGATCTTGTTTCTCCTTATTTTCTATACAGTTTAATGCTACTTTCGATTTCAGTCTTGGTTTTTTTTTCTTTTTAATTTATCGTAACGGAGATGGTTGTAATTTACTTTTGAGAATTCCAATTTTCATTAGAGATGGAAACCTTTTTTCTTCTTCTTCTTCTTCTTTCCATTAGCACTAGAACTTGCTACATGACCAATTACCTGCAAATAATTAATATGGTTTTAATATTAATTACGTGAGTTTATTTGAGAAAGTTATGGTTTTTGTTGTGACAGTAGTTGTGGTTATTATAATTGTAAAAAATATATTAATAAAATATATTAATAAAATGCTTTTATATTATATAAGATTTAAAAATCCAAAAACTTCATTTTGTAACTTTTATTTTAACTTTCAGGTAGTTTTCAAAATAGTTTTTTATAATTTTACCAGTTCAATAGATTTTGGAAAAAAAAAAAGAAGAAGAAAGATAAAAGCCATGGTTGCAAAATAAGCAAATATGTTATAAGTTAGTTACTCTCTGTTAAAAAATAAATAAATTAATCTTCTAATTTTAAAAATTAATTATTTAATTTTTTATCAGTGTTGATGATAATTAATTTAATATTAATTTATTTTTAAAAAAATCGTTTATTTGCATCAATCCTTTTGTATTTTTTTGTATTTATTTTTATTTCTTATAACAAAAAAGATTGAATTACAAGAAAATTTAAAAATACAAAACCTAATAACTAGTTTTCGAAACAGCAAGAACTAATTAGTTAATTTCTGATGAACGAATTTATAATTTACTCCAAGATAAATATTGTACTATAAATACATAACTTTTTAACTTTTTCTTAATCAAATACATAACTTTTAAATTTTTTTAGTACACTAATTTTTCAAAATAACTAATCAACTATTTTTTCAATTTTTTTATTAACTAATGTCCATCACTATCAAATTATAATTTTTTTTCTTTTTTCTCTCAATCGTATGCATAAACTTTAATTTTTTAATTCAAATATATCAATTCTTTCAAAACTATCATTTAAGTATTTTTATCAATTTTTTTATTAATTGATAAAGTGTTCGAATATGAAATTATAAATTCATCTCTTTTTAAGGAAGCTTTCTTCCCAAATTATTTTACCATGTTTTTTTAGATATAAAATCTAAAACTAAACACAATTAGGTATGCTGTTAAAAAAAAAAATTATTTAAATTTATGAGTAAAAATTGAAAAAAAAAAAACACATAAATCTTCTTGATAAAAAATCTCACATTTGTTTTTGCTTCAACTTTCAGTTCAAAATGTAACTTAGCTTCTTTTTTTAACAGCAACTCTAATTGAGTTTAACTCAAAATTTTATAACTAAAAAATAACTCTTTTAGAAAAGGTAGAACAATTTAGGGAGAAAGTTAATTGCAACAAAAATAGAGAAAAATATATATTTTAGAATTCAGACATCATCAATAAAAAAAATTAACAAAAATAATTGATTGGTTGTTTTGAAAAAATTGATATACTCAAATAAAAAAATTAAAAATCATGTACTTTACTTAATTGATAGTTTTAAAAAAATTTGTATAATATATAAAAAAATTAAAATTCATATGCTCAAGTGAGAAAAAGTTAAAAATTGATATAATTATAATGCAATTATCCCAATTTACTCCAGACGGGCATCTGTGTAATTTATCAGAAAAAGAATACCCATAGAGTTCCTTTAAAAAAGTCGAAGAATAATTAGTAAAGCACACACCAAAACGTAACTGTATTGATTCGACAATCTGCCCACTTCATTAAAAAAAAAAAAAAAACCTCCAATCCTATTTTTATGTTTCCAACAACACTTTGCCGATGTAAATTAGTATTATTGTAACAATCAAATGTTAAACAAAATTCTTCATTAGAAATCCTCTCAAAAAACAACTCAAGAATATTTCTCAATCACAATCTGAGAGAGAGAGAGAGAGAGAGAGAGAGAGAGAGAGAGAGAGGGGGGGGGTGGTGGTGGTGTGGAGTCCCACAAGTAAAAAGCAAAAAGTCCTAAAAAAAAAAAAAAAAAACTAAAAACCTCTCCGAAATAGTCTAAAAAAGAGAAAGTAACTTAATAAAAACCGTGGCAGATTGTATACAAATGAAATGCATTTTATAAGATAAGAAAGAATGAGAGGGAGGGGTGGGGGGCTTGGCTCGTGGTAGGTAGGTGATATGGTTAATACTATGCTGAAGCTAATGCAGTATGTGTATCAGCATTTCAGGGACTAATGATGCTCTGATTACGAGTAAAACTGCACGCAACTTGAAAAAACACCTTCCCAAGTCCCACGCTAATCTCGTAACCATACTCAATTTACAGCTATAGCCTATATGTGTACTAGCAAAGCTTTACAGCAATCTTAGGAGTTGATTAAAAACTTGACACAGATACATTTACTAGTCCCAGTAACTAAATTCATCCTCACCTTCTTCGTATTCTTTGTCTTGATAGTTTGAATCCTGGTGGCAGTCATCTTCAAAAAGAAAAGGCACCACTGTTTTGCGTTGCCCAGACTTCCTGTCATTCATCTCTATAACAGAAATGATCTTCGCCTGAATACAATCTTCAACAGTATCCCCTCTGATTTCTCTTGACTGCAAACCAAGAAGAGAGAAGCATTCTCCTTGGAAGTCTGGATCATTAGATGACAAGATGAGGCTGGCAAGAGATCTTGCAAGGCCAGGGGCATGACTGCAAATCTGAGGATAAAGAAAATTCCAAACTACATAGTCAGAATGGATACATAGATTAAATAGATGAATGCAACTTTCATCATTAAGATGTCTAATTAGTAATACTCAACATGACCTATAGCCAATTAGGTAAATGGGAAGCCTTTGATTAGTGATTGAGGAAATAACTTCATCACTAAGGATTAGAAAGTTCGTCAGCTCTTTGGATTTTGGAATGAAGAAACAAATTGATTTGTACACTCAAGCGTGTAATTCGCTCTAGAGACTTGAATTTTGCATATTAATTTCAGGGTTAGCATTTCTAGCAATTTTTTTCCCACTTTTAAGAAGCTTTAAAAAACATAATATATTAGAAGGGAGGCAGGGTGGAAGGAGTGGATTTTACCTTGACAGCATGTGCACTTAGAAGAATTCCTGGATGTTTCTCCTTCAAATTATTCAATGCAGCTTTAACTGCTTTTTTTATAAGATGTTGCTCAAGTTGAGTTTTATGCCTTCCCAATGGTAACGTGGACTTGATATCAAGTCAAGGAAAAAAACAAAACACAGCAGCAGATACAGTAGTGAAGGAAAATCTTAGCATAAAGATTAAGCAAACGGAAATGAATTGCATATAAGTTAACTTGGATATTGCTTAGGGTAGCAGTGGAGGACCATATCTATGTGAGAATGAGATGGTACGTGTTCCCACTCTAGTACACATTCACCTTGATCCACAATTTTCCCCAAAGTCAGTCCATAATTTTGCCATTCAATGGTAGACAACACATTCAGCGCTGAATGGAAAATTGAACAGGGTGTGAAATCCTTAAAACACAACACCTGGAAATGAAAATCAGAACAACCAAATCAAATACAAAGAAATGGAAAGCAAAAGAACAACAAAAACAACAAGAAGAATTCAATGGCAGGGAAAATTGCAATAACATATGTAAAGCCAGATCCAAATTGAACTACTACATTAACAAGATATGCTATAACACCTCAGATTCTGCTACACGCACAGATACAATCATTGAACTAAACTTGAACTGACTGCTCTTAACCCTTTTTGCATGGATAAACCACGTGAAATTCATGTCTCGTCCTTTTTATTTGATTAAAAAAAAAAAAAAGAACGGTCTAGAATCTCCCCACTAATAATTTGAAGTCCTAAAAAACAATAGTAAGAAATTATCATCATATTTAACTTTCTGCACATCAATGTTGCCAATCTATCTTCATAAAACTTAACCGTCTTTCTTGCAAGCAGATCTTGCCAGGATATGTCTGACAAACTTGATTAATAAAAAAGGTATGTGAAGTAAAAAGACAAGGGAACAATGAGAACCTCTGTTTTAGAACTGCATGCCCTGAAGCAAGGACAGGCTGACTCTAACTCACTTATTATAATCACCACTTCCATCATGAGTCCAGAGCTCTTATGGCTTTCTGTGCTGCATGCCATTCCAGTCCCAACCTTAAGATGCTTACTAATAAGACACAAAGAAAGGATATCAGACAAAGATCATCCATATAGCATGTTTCACAAATTCCTGAAACTTCAAGTTGGCAAGGTGGAATATATATATACATATATATAAACATAAACTTTAATTGGTTATGAGGAGCCTCTTTATCATGCACTCTGGAGTAAAATAAGCCACATTCCAAATCACCAACTCCTTGTTGTAACTTGTGATCTTGAGGATCTAATTAATTAGATGGTATTCGATTTGATGGCGTATATACAGTGCACACAAGGGGAGAAGACATGGCAGATTAGTATAAATAGCAAAATTACATGTCAAATAAAACAAGACATTGCAGGCATGTGCAAAGTAAATTCCTATGGCCAACCTCAAGTTGCTCGGTTAGCTTAAGAGTTGGTTGACTTGTATGCAAATATGAATATGAAACTTGAAACTCTATGTTAGAAAATTGAAAATGTATATCAAAGATATCCAATGAATGTAGCAGACTCTAGACAGGAAGCTGGAACAAATGCAGTACAAACTTACGAAGTTGCAAAGCATGTATTGCACTTTTGGGTTAAAGAATTCCCATGCTTTAAAACATAGTCTTTGAGGCCTGACTTTAGGCATTCAACATTTGAGGTTGAAAGGGGTCCAGGATTGCTTCTATTTGCTAGAAAGACATTTTCATATCGTGATCCAGGAATGTCTTCACGTTCAATCACCAGTTCGATTGCAATATTCTGGAAACAAAAAAGAAAAGCTGACTGCTAGTCAGGACACAAGTCTCCCAACTATCAGGCAAATTTGTTCATGCACCTAAACAGAATCCAATTCAAGGAAACTTCTCTTTATTTCAGACAGAATGTTCATCAGCATCTTTAAAGGGTATGCCACTGTAATCTACAAGCTGAAGTTTATAGTGAATATCTTCTTTTGTAGTGATACATGATATTTGGACCAAATGAAAGCACAAACCAGAAATAACTGTGCATTTAAGTGGCAATATTGGTATCTTTAAGCTCGTCAACATGTCATAATAACTGCTGGCTTACTGCTGCTACCATCAGTAACTTAAGGCTAGCTTTGATATTGCAAACAGAAGAGAGAGGAAAGGGAATAATATATTAGCTGCTTGACCATTTTAACCCTTCTCATTGCCTCCTCTCATTCTTCTATATCTAATGGAGGCATGCCGTCCATATTTGCACCAAAAAAAGATCAACAATGAGATATGAAGGCTAAACTTACTGGGACATTTAAGATCAGCATCTGCAAAATATAGAAAACAAAACATGGTAATTAGTGGAGACAATTGAAAAAACTTTCAGCAACCACTTTCTCTATAGAGTAGTAATAGAACTTAAAACTGTAAATAAAAATTGGAAGGATCATTCTGAATATGTAATATGACATAAAAACTCTTTGCCCACTGGTGTGGAAAGCATTAAATTACCATAATAAATTGCTTGCCGACAATTTCAATCCATAGTTGGAGGAGCCCATAGCCCCCATACAGACAAAAACTCCATAAAATATAAGAGGGTTAGTTGTTCTCTTTAAACAAGGCAGCCTACTCTAGCTATAAAAACTGGCTTTACAGATCAAATTCTGCAGATATACAACAACCCTCTTTTTCAGTAACCAAAAGCCCCTACTTGCAGGCATCCATGAGAGAATGCTGTAGTAAAACATTACTTCAACTAACTACACGGAAGATTCATGAAAAGGCATGCAAAACCTTCTTAAGTCAGGATCTTAACTGTCATCTTGCCTTTTACTCATGCATGACTCAGCTGAACCATGTTTTTTTTAAAAAAAAAAAAAAAAACCATGTACAGCATGTACAGTTAGTCACAAACTAGTGGCAATACAGATTACATCCTCCATCATGGTAGGCCAATATCAACTCAATCCAATGGCATCTTAAAACTGTGTGTCTGCACAGTACAACAGTACAAGTGCAACAATCAGGCACCAGGCAATCTGCAGTAAAATGACAATGGCCATAGCCAAGTTGAGGCTCTGTGGCAGAAGTATTAAATCACTGCTGTTTCAACATTCATTATTAAGCCATACACACCATTTCCATTTGGTTATCATTTATCTTGTACTGCTAGTAATGCAAGACACGAACAATGAAACAAGACACAAAGTCTTTAGAGCGCAGTCAACAAACCTTTTGAAAGAAGTGATTGATCTCAGACACTAAAACATCAATGCTCTCTGAAATGGACAGACATACTTCAGTCCCACTGAAGAAAAAAGAACCATATCAATAAATCAGAAGTGAAAAAAAAAAGGCTTAAAAATACCAACATAAAAACTCAACAGCTAAAGCATACTTCATGCCTGAATTTCGCACCGTTCTTGGGACTGGAAGGCAGCCGAGTAAGGGTTCTGCCAGAAATGCTTTCCCTTAAATTGAAGTGATAATGATATATTTCATCATCAGAAATTTCTGTAATCTCCACGAAGTCGAACATGTGTCATTAATTGAATCAAATTGTAGCCTATCAACGACGGTATACACTTCCCCATAGTGAAAGGTAAAAAAGAGAAGCATTAGAATTAGAAGTTACCGGTAGTTTTGACAGAGAGCATTCCATCTGCACAACAAAGTATCTATATATGTCAAACAATCCATCAAAAATAACAACAGTATTATGTATTTATCGCATTCTGGCTACTAATTGAAATAAATTGGTGTTAATTACCCCAAAATTCCGCAGAAACACTGCTGCAGTTGAGGTCCTGAAACTCCTCCAAGCAGCTTCCAATACCAGTATCAGAGACTGCACGTAATTGAAAATTGAAATACGAGCCCAAAATATATATATATATATATATATATATATATATATGTAGACAAGCAAAGGAGTAGAAAACTGAAGCCATTGAAAAAAAAAATGGAGAAAGAAAGTGTAATTACTGGAAATTTGAAGAGTGGAAAGAGATTGTGGTTTGATAACAGCTGATAGTCTGCAGAGTTGTTGAGATAGACGGCATCTTTGAAATGCACAAGAAATTAACTGCAAGAAGTTGGGTTTCCATCAATTACGGACTTGAAAAACAACAAGTATCGAATGGAATGGAAAGCAAGCAAGCAACATTACGTGTAAGCAAAGATTTGAAGCCGAAGAAACTTCCATTGGATTTTGGGAGCAGCGAAATAGAGAGATGAATTGCTGAAGGTGAACTCCCACGCTGCTGCTGCTGCTGCTGCTGTTGTCTGTTATGGCCAGGTATACTGCACTATATTTTACTTCTTTTTGGTTTTTTGAATTTCTTTTTCCTTTTTTTTATTAATTATTAATGGCCAGTGGTGTCCTGGGCCTGGGCATCATAACGACCCATGGACAGCACGGGCACCACACGATATGGGTCACGCTTAAGGTCTTCTAGAACATGGGCTAACAAGGAATGAACCATGATCATATGGGTAGACACAACGCAGCCCAAATAAGTCTCTGCTTTGCCAGAATGCCATGCTTCTCACAAATAAATTTGGCTTATTTCAATGTACTTTAAAAGGAAAAACAAAAAAGGTGTGGCTTACAATTCGGGAGCTTTTGAAACAAAAGCATGTTATTAACAACACAAATGCACATGTAATTTGTTAATGGTATATGAGATAGTTAAGCTGCCTTTTTGTTTTTTGAACATTTAATTAGAAAAAAAAGATCATATTTGTTAAAATATCATAACAATATAATAATGATAATAAGGAATGGTTTAGTCATAAAAACTTTAAGTTTTCAATTCTTTCAATTGTCATTACATTTAGATTTATTTTTCCGAATTCTAAAATATGGAAAACTTAGAATTTTCAAATTTAAAACCAGTCTATAAAAAAAAAAAAAAACTAGCTGAGGAAAATCAATTTTCGATTGAAAAAGCAGAGAAAGAAAATAGTAATGAAAACGGCTAGACAGGTTAGCAACCTAAGTTAGCACGGCAAGACACTAGCTCGTGCAACTAAGGACACAAGATAATATGAAATGACATGTGCCAGAGATTTTTATAAAATAGCATGAGAAACATGGATCGGGTTGACCTGACTCGACCTACTTTACACGTTTAAACAAGACTATGAGGTGACTGAAGGGAGCCATGTCCCTCTTAAAGTTGTTTCAATGTTGCTGTTAGCCCTTGTACATTTATAAAATATTTCTTCTTTTTTTTTTTTAACCTACTAGATTTTCAACTTTCATGTCTTCGTATAAAATTCCCTCCATTCCATCATTGGGTTGGAGTATTGAAAAAAAAAAAAAAAAAAAAAAATCAAATCCGCTTTAAACAAGTTACTTGTACCGTTTTGAAACAGTCATGAAAAATAGTCTGATCGTTTCAAAAACAGTAACTTTTTACAAACTTTACTTTAAAAAAAAAACGTAATGTCCTATTTTACATAATGTCTATTTGTAGCACTGTTTTCTTATTCACAACATATTTCATAACTTGCTCAGAGAGAAAAATAATTCTTTCACCCTTGTCTTCCTTCTAGTCCCACTAAAAAGCTATCTAATTTTATTTTATTTTGATTATAAATTTGAATAAAAATGGTATTTTATTTTTAAAATTTCAAATCTTATAAATAGTATAAACTTGATAGATACACTAAAATGACTAAGTTTATTGTATTTCTAAAATGACATGCAACTTATACTTGAATCCATTGGAACAAAAAATTTTTGACAAAGAAGGCATAAAAAAAAAAAACAAAACAATCTAGTTGTTTCTCAAGACAATAACCTTGAGAATTTGGTAAAAATATTTTGGGGTTTTTTTTTTCCCAACAATTTGAGATCATAGGCAAATGGAAAACACTAACGTTGAGTATTGACAAAACTCCATTAGAATAGAAGATCTCAACAAACTACCACTTTCCTTGTGCAAACTTTGAAAAACGAAGGCAAAAGAATTTATTTTATCTTACTCTATTAAATATTGATATTGTTTTAACTGAAAGATCCAAAGAAAAAGAAAACTAACAATATGAACAATGAAAATATAGTTCAATATAACATAGAAGTTAAGAAATGAAAAAAAAAAAAAAAAAAAGAAGAAAGATAATAATAATTATTGCAATTATTCACTCCATTATCTTTCTAGTTAGTTTTATGGTTATTATAATAATGATATTTTTTTGTTCTAAAGATTTCGAAAGCTCTACACCAAAAGTATGACATCAAAAAATTTAGATCCAAAAACTATGCTTGCAGATCGTTCCAAATAAATGAAGAACGAGCAAGCAATAGATCAAGTCTATAAATTTCAAATGATTGCACATAACATCCACTCTAAAGGTATTCATGTAGATGAACAAATGCAAGTTTCACTTATCAATGACGAGTTATCAAAATCATGAAATAGATTTTGCTAAAGGCTCGAGGTGTAAACAAAAAAAGACAAAGCCGTTGAAGAAGACGCAAGAAACCAAGACAAAGCCATTGAACTTAATTGTTCAAATGATACTAAGATAAATTTCATCGTTTATGATAAAAACTCCTATCATATGCCAAAAACTCATGGAAAGTTTAATGCTTAATTTAAATCAAATAAAAAATTTTTCAAGAAAAAGATTTGGCTAAAATGGTCAAACATCCCCGAAACTTTAGTTCATTTAAAAATTAGTTCCTAAATTTTTAATTTTTGTTTTGACTTCCTTGAACTTTTTTATGTGATTTAGTTCATCTTATTATTTTTAGCTATCAACCTTCTTCTCTAAAAAAATTCAATTTTTGATATTTTGATCTAAAGTTTTGTATACACATTGGGTTAAATCTAATTCATTTTTTAGAAAATGGATTAGATTTGTTTATTTTTCAAACACTAAAAATGTAAAAAATAAAAATATATATATATAAAATAACTTGGAATAATCTTAAATTTTTTGGATAGGTTCGGATAAATCTCATTGAATGATTTCCATCATAGGGCTATTTATCCAATTGTTATTTTTTGGGATAAATTACAAAAAACTAAATGTTGAACTAAATCTCTAAAAAGAAAAATCAAGGAGGTGAAAAACAAATAAAAAGTTGAAGAACTAATTTTCAAATAGACTAAAGTTTAGGGAAGGTTTGACCCTTTTAACCAAAAGCTTTATGGAAACCATTTTCACTAAGAAATTATGGATCACGTCTTAAACCACCACCAAATAATGACAACTACACTCGGTGATAAAAATAATTATGCTTATTTTATTTGTGTTAACTCTAAGCATGGTGCTAAAAAATGTCGTTTCTCTAAATACGGCATATTGCTCAAACTAGCATTACCAAAATACTATTTGTGGCAATGATTTTTGCGATTAGCATTCTCAAATATTCAGATGGATGGTAGAATGATTCAGGAGGTACTCAACATGTCTTTCATAGCAAAAATTTATTCAAGAGTTACACCATCCTAGATGAAAAAAAAAATCATGCTTGGTGATTTTCAAACTACTAAGGTAGTAGAGTTGAAAATATTCTTATCAAATTTACATGTAAAAGAGAGATTACTCTTAAAGATACGTTGCATGCTCTTGAAATTGGTAAGAATTTGGTTTTTTTTTTTTTTTTTTGGGATGAGATTGCTTTTAAACAAGTTATTGAGAGTATGTACTTTTCAAAAAAAAAAAAAAAGCCTATTTATTAGAAAATTTTATGCTTGTGATGGAATGTTTAAGCTTAACATTGAAATGAATGAAAAATCTACTTCTACTTTTATTGCTTTTTATGTGAATGTTTGACATGGTACTTATGTCATATAAATTGCAAATATATATATAAAAAAGAAAAACTCGAGTACTCTTGATTTAATTCCTAAACTTGAAAATGAGATTTAAAAATATAAATCTTGTAACATGGCTAAAATTTCAAAGAAATCCTTTAAAAGTTTTAATCATAATTCTGAATTACTAGAACTTATATGTGTTGATATATGTGAGTCTCGGTTGTATTTTAGCTCGTGGTTGTAATCATTGTTTTATAACTTTCATTGATGATTTTTCAAAAATTCATATATTTTTCTTGTGAAGCATCAAAATAAGTTTTTGAAAAAAATTATTATTTTCTTAAAAGAAGTTGAGACTAGATTTGATAAAAAAAAAAAAAACACTTAAAAGGCTTCAATGTGATAGAGGTAAGAAATATAATCCTGTTGGTTTTAATAAATCTAATGATATTATTCATGAAGTTATAGCTTTATATTCATCTTTTTCAAGTGGTTAGCTGAGAAGAACGAGACCTCAATGTATTTCGTAAAATCTATGCTTGTTATATTTCTTGTGGTCCAAAGAATTTATAAGATAAAGCTATTTTATCTGCAAATTTTATTTTGCATAGAATTCTACATAAAACCACTATTTTAACTCGTGGATTGTGAAATGGTTGAAGTATATATAAAAAAAAAAAATCAAATCCGTTTGAAAACAATGCAAGTTATTGTTTTGAAACAGTACCATATATAATTTTTGAAACAATCATGAAAGTGACTGTTTCAAAACCAGTAACTTGTTACAAACTTTGTTTTAAAAATCGTTGCTTACTTCTAGCCTTTTAATTGGTGGCTCAAACAGTCAAAATGTTTTAATGTCCTATTCTATAGTACGCCCATGTATAGCATTGTTTTCTTGACAAATCAAGCAGAAAAAATTACAGCACCTTGCATGCTTTACTTATATAGAAAAATATCTCTATCTTCTCTACTCCAACTAAAAAGTAATAAATTTTAGTTGTTGTTTTTGCATTACAAATTTGGATAACTATGATATTATTTTTTGAATTCAAATATTATAAATAGTATAAATTTATTAAACTTGATAAGATGATTGAGTTTATAATATTTTCGAAACTACTTATAAAATACACTTAATGTGATATATAAAACTTTTTTTGTACACAATGGGTATAGTCTAAAAAATGCAACGTAATCGTATCTCAAGACAATTATCTAGAAATTTTGGTAAAATTATTTTGAAGTTTTTAACATCCTTGATTTTAGATAATTTTTTTTTCAACTTATTGTCCTATGTACTGGGCTTCTGTCAAATTCTTTAGCCTCAAAATTGACATTTGCTACAATTTATTTCTTAGAAAAATAATAGAGTAATACGACAGTGGCAAGTTCTATCTTTTAATTAAAGACCAATAAAGAAATTTGAATGAAATGGAAATAATGGATGTTCGATTTTTTTTTTTCAAAGTCAATAAGTTGAGCGAGCCTAACATGTATGGCATCTTAAATGCACTAGAGTATGCCACTAAGGTCTAATAATTTTGAAGAGCCGCTTCATTGTTAGGGTATGATAAAAAATCTTGACTTACAAGCAAATAATTCATATAAATATTTTCTACCATCCTCCTTAGGATATGACTAATATTTTTTATTGTTCTTTAAACTAACAATTCCCTCTTCACTGGTAAAAGATGCCGTCCAAGTGTGGTCAAGGATGGTGCCTGTCAAATTGGTTTGCATCTTTCAAAAGTAAGCCAAAAAAAAAAAAAAAACTATCCACATTTGTTGGTTGACTTGCATATATGATATATCTATTTTTGCTTTTCTACAGTACCATTCTAAAAACTTGAGTAAATAATTACATGAGTCTAGAAATTGATTTTTGCATACATTCGATGTAGTATAGATTATTTTGCTAATTTCAAAATCTAGTTATAATTCAAATTTGTTGTTAGATTATCTTCTATCAATAAACCAAATACACTTTGTTTGTAATATAAGAAAAAGTAATTGAGGATACAACTATGCGTTCGGATGGCACATATTGATTACTGCTTAATAATATTTGTATTGCATTAACTTTTTAAGAGATAAAAATCATTAAAGAGAGGGAGAGAGAGAAATTGACCTTTTGAATTCATGTTATATGATCTACCATATTAATTAAAGAAAATAAAATAAATTATAATATTTTCTTTTATGTTGCAGATTCTATTGTAGATGTAGTAGCACTCATAACAAGTTGGTTAAAATAAATAAATTAAATAATGTAGGGCCATATTAAAATATTTATGAAATTTAACCCATCAAACAAATTAATTAAAGCAATCAAATTAATGTTCTTTTTCCATTTCTTTCTCTTTTTGTTACAAATGAGATATTTACTTTTTTATCAGTAAATTATAAATTAGCTCATTTTGTTTTGAAAAATAAAGCAATTAGTTATTTTGGTTTCAAAAACTAATTATTTAATTTTTTTTCTATTTTTAATTTAATTTATTTTTTATTTCTAAGAAATAAAAAATAAAAATAAAAAATAAGTAAAAATATAGAAAGATTGGCAAAAAATTTTTTTAATAAAATAAAATAATATTATATTAATCGTGGTCACCACTATTTAAAAAGACTATATAATTAATTTTTTAAAAAACTAATTAATTTATTTTTCAAAATAATATAGACTAATTTACAATTTATTTTTCTTTTTAGTCATCCGTTCTCAATAGACACTTGCAAAACAGAAAACATGTTTTTTTGAAAAAGACAGTAAGACAATCAACATTAATTGAACTTGAAGTAGCTCATTTCTCTTTTATTTCGTTTTCCGTGATAATTTTCTTTGAATTATGACCACTTTTTTTTTTTTACTAAAAATTAGCCATATTATAGCTTTTTTTTTTAATTTTAAAAAAAAAGATTATGATAGGATGCGACTGTGGTACTTTAATCTCATCTCATCTCATGTCTTTTCACAGGCAAAAGTCAACGTGATAAAACAAAATCAAAATTATTAATCTTCATCGAACTAACTCCAACTCTTTCTTCTACACAAACTGCACAAAACCAAACTACTTCCATGATCCTCTCTTTTGTTCTTTCTATATATTGGTATTGGCGATGAGTTAGGTTCAAAAGAATCAGTTTTAGGAACAACAGTCAAGAGTTGTTCAACTCATTCATTCATAACAGATAGATAGAGAGAGGGAAAGGGCAGACGAACAACCTGGATGGATCATCATACAGAGATTGAAATCCATGGGAATTCAAATCCAATTCAAATATCTCGTTTGGCCCTCGATATTGGAGGTATATATCTGTTGAATTTTATCTGCTTCTTTCGTTTTGCAATCAATAAAAGAAAAAAAATGTTAAATCTTGCTTTGCAGGATCTTTAATCAAGCTGGTGTATTTCTCGAGAAATTCTGGTGATGATGAGGACCCATTGAATGATAGTGTTGGAGTTTCCAATGCTGTTAATGGCAGGCTTCATTTTGCCAAGTTTGAGACAACCAAGATCAATGACTGCTTACAGTTTATTAGTGCCAACAAACTTCTCCTTGGTGGTATGTGCACTATCATGACCATGACCATCCTTGTTGTTTTCTTTCTGTCTTTCCTCATTTCTTGAAACTCTAGATGGTATCAACAGTATGGCATGGTATTTTTTCCAGCGAACTTTATGGCTGAGTTTGAGTTTGACTTAAGCTGAACCGATGTTTTCACACTAGACTTGGCTTGCACATGTTTAGTTATGCTCCGAACTCTTGCTGTTCGTGTACATTAATGCGGTAGTTTGATGTTTGAAACAATTTGTTGGGTAAGATTGGGCAGCTAGGTTGTCAACCTGGCCTAATTTTGTATGTCACTTCATTCTGACGCCTTTTCGGGATGATGCATAAACAATAGATGCCATCATATGCAGATAATTTTTCTCAATCTGCATACACAGACACGTATAATACCGTTGCTATTTGGGGAACTGTTTGCTGTGATTGAACTAATTTTATTGGTCTTTAATCAAAATGCTACTTTCAATGACTTGAAGGGAGCCCCACGTAGGCTATTATAACTCATTTTGTCATCATTACTTAGTAGAGGTCATCTTTCTTGGAGTTGCTTCATGTTTATAATTTCCTCGTTTATGTATTTTTTTGCTGGCTTTGGTCACTTGCTTACAAATGAAGGTGAACTCAGGTTTCCAGCATCAAGAAAATTTTAGCAATGACAGAAACTTTATTAAGGTAAGATGTAAGAGTAATTGATGTTTGTTGCCAAACTGTAACTTTGAAGAACCTCTATCACTAAAGGTTTGTTAATAAATTTATTGAGAGAAAATGCAATTTTTTTAGAAAAAAATTATTCAATATTTCTTCATCTTAAATCCAGATTTCCTTCTCTGTGATCACAAATTGCCTTTCATACATAACTTCACATTAAGCTGAACAATTATTTTAAAGGTAACTTCTAGTGTTTGATTCCCCTGTTGGAAAACACCTTTTTAATCTGATGAATTGTTTAGTGTTTTGTACTTTGGAACAATTCATTTTATGTTGTAAGGTTGGGTTTAGAATAGGTACTAAATAGGCTAAATTGTAACTAGTTACAATCCATGTGAAGGCCACAGGTGGTGGGGCATACAAGTTCTCTGATCTTTTCAAAGAAAAGCTTGGCATTAGACTTGAAAAGGAAGATGAAATGGATTGTCTTGTGACGGGAGCAAATTTTTTGCTTAAGGTGGGATTCCAACACCACATAGTCGCATACAGTTAATATCAGCAAGTTGTTGTCTTTCTTTCAAACATTAAGAAAGCTTCATTATCAGTCTCCTGCCCTTCGTCTTTCCAGAACCCTCTGTTTTTTATTGTTCTTGAGTGTATACATGCTTATAATACATAGCTTACATACAATTCTCTCAAGCATTTTGTTTTACATAAGATCGTTCCTATTGGTTTCACACACTGTAGGCAAATGTCTCGTCTCAATTTATAATGATTTTTTTTTTTTTAATTTTATGAAAGTTATAAATGGATCATGATAAGTGCCATGTGTTAGTTGCTATAGACCAGGAAGGATGTGCTCCTGGATTCAACATATTAGAAAATTGAACAGTGCGATCACTTGTATCACTTGGAAGGATGTGTCACTGATTAGAAAGTACTGAATCATCAGAAGAATAAACTTCATGCTGCATTGGACATTTGCTAGACTGTGTCCTATGTTAGAAAGTTGTCATATCTAAACCCCATCCTAAGAAATGTATGTTTGATGTTTGAGAAGATTGTAACAGATCTCGCCCTAGGTCCCAATTCTCAGTAGATAGTATTGCAAGTGGTATTTATATGTCAATATTGAAATGAACTTCTACATCTTAGAAAAGAAAAGAGGTTTCAAAATTTCTCCTTCTGTTCAGGTTCATTTGCAGTTGGAAATTGTCTATGTATAGCTATGCCTTGCTTCCCTCTTCAACCAAAAGAAAACTTCCCTTGTTTGTGTGTGTGCATGTTCAGGGAGGGAACTTTTTACCTGAGATGCCTTCAATTTTTTTCTTCCATGCTTTATAACAATTAGTAATGGCCCATTCCTTTTCTTGTTCAATTTACTAATGTCCTAGCTGCATGCTGATTGTTATTTTGAGTAGGCAGTCAATCATGAAGCTTTTACATACTTGAATGGTCAGAAGGAATTTGTGCAGATTGACCATAATGATTTGTATCCGTACCTACTCGTTAATATTGGATCTGGAGTTAGCATGATCAAGGTACTCATATCAGTATTGGATTAGTTTACCTCCATTGTTTATGATTTGTTTTATGCATCTAAAACCTTATCATATATTAACTGATATTCAGATTTGTGCTAATACAGGTGGATGGAGATGGAAAATTTGAGCGAGTTAGTGGAACAAGTGTTGGTGGTGGCACTTTTTGGGGTTTGGGAAAGTTATTAACAAAATGCCAGAGGTAGTTTGGTTTGTTTCCTCATCTTTGGCCAATTATGAATTTCCTTATATATAGTTTCATATTTAGTGGACACTAACGCATTTTCTTTCTCAGTTTTGATGAGTTGCTGGAGTTGAGTCATCAGGGAAATAACAGAGTTATAGACATGCTTGTTGGGGACATTTATGGTGGGATGGACTATTCAAAGGTATATTGAAGTCTTTTCTTTAATTTATAAGATTACTTTTTGCCAGTTCACATATTTTCATTCATCATGTTGAATTGCCCATTAAGGTTCATAACAGCTTCGTGCTTTCACACTGATTTTCGATCTTTATAATTTAACTGCTCGTTTCATTTGATATGATGACAGATTGGTCTCTCATCTACAGCTATTGCTTCTAGCTTTGGGAGGACAATTTCTAACAACAAGGAACTTCAAGATTATAAACCTGAAGATATCTCCCGGTCTCTTCTGAGAATGATTTCAAATAATATTGGACAGGTAACTTTCAGTTGGGCAGATCTGTTGTGTTGCTATAAATTGAATAGCATGCTGTCAAGCAGTTGACAGGATGCTATAAGATTTATATGGAATTAAAATTTAACAAGGAAATGTTTATACGTACAAAAATCTCACAAACTAACTTGGCAAGTGATATATGATGCTAGTACTTGCCATTTAATTGGGATGATGTCATAGAATGGCATCCTTGCATTAAATGCTATTTTTATCCGTAAGATTTTCCTGTTTAAATTTTTTGTTTGTATTGCCTTACTCTTTGAACAAACTCATTTTTTTGATAACGCTAGACCTCAATTGGTTGTTATGGATTTAGAGCTTTTCCATCCTTCTACTGAGTTGGCTTCGAGAAATAAGATTCAAACCATTGGCCAAGGTTTTTGTAGCTGGAATTGTCTTACCTTTGGATATTTAATTCTCAGAGATGGTTCCCATTCCCTACAGTGCTGTTTAGACATTTTGGAAGGACATAGACATGTTTAAGGACATAGAAATACTTGAGAGCTGGAAGCTGTATCCAGAATGCAATATGACCAAGTTTTGTATGCTATTTACTTACATAAGAAAATTAAATTTTCTTCAAGACCTTACATGGCACTCGAAAACTTTGCTTGCCATAATTGATCATATTTCTGCACTGTACTTTTTCCTCTCTTTTGTTCTAAGACTTGCCTTTTTTTTTTTTTTTAATTTTCTTTTTGTGTTACTAAAATGCCACACTAAATTTGTTTGTCTTATATCTTGATTATTGATCAATTAAATTAACAGAGATACCCTGAGTTATTTTTAGTTAGTGCACTCTTATTCTCTCATTTCCTCATTTTATTTCTCTGCTCCCAGATCTCTTACTTGAATGCTCTTCGATTTGGGCTCAAGCGCATATTTTTTGGAGGATTTTTCATCCGGGGTCATTCTTACACTCTGGACACCATTTCTGTTGCAGTTCATTTCTGGTAATTATCTGGGAGTTTGTTGTTGTTGCGTCAACAACAAAGTAATTTTCCTATTTGACCAAAACAAATCACCTCCCCTATCTGGAGGGGGCATTATGTGACTGTAGAACTGTTCTCAGGTGGATCCTTATATCTTGATAATGAACACCTTCCAGCCTGTACGGTATGAGATTGCCAGAAAGCAAGGAAAAGAAACTTGTCATAGAAATATTCTTCCAGCATAAAAAGTTACATGTCCTGGTAATTGAAAGTGAAAGAAATTATCAATCATGGTAAATGAAAGGGAAATGCAATGAAATCTTACCAAATATTCCATGCACTCTACTAATTAGAAATTCATTTTGTTCTGATAAAACCAAAACAAGTTCATCGATATTTGGTGATATCATCTTTCTCTTGCAGTGCACGTTTTCTCCTTTCAGATCACTTCACCGAAAATACACTATTCTTTTTATTTATTTTTGATTTGACAGGTCTAAAGGCGAGGCAAAGGCGATGTTTTTGCGGCATGAAGGATTTCTTGGAGCTCTAGGTGCATTCATGAGCTATGAAAGGCACAGCCTTGAGGACTTGGTGGTTAATCAATCGGAGCAGCTCCAAGTGGATGCATCCTCTGGTACGGATAAGAATTGTAACCCACTGAAGGGGGATTTGAATGAAACTGAGAGCATACAGTGTAGTGTCTATCGAGCTTAGAATTAGCTGTAACTTCCCTTCTTTTACTTGGGTGTGTGAAGGAAATTTATTGGTACCACTGGGCATACTACAGGTCGAAGAAGTTCGTAGCTAGTGTAACATAGTTAAAACATCCCAGGACCAATAATTTCTCAGAAACGTTTTAGCACCTGCAGCATAAAAGTATCAGTGAAAATGTTAAAAGGAGAGGGACTCGTCAAAGTAATACTTTGCCTGATTATCTATGTAATATGTTCTCTGTAGCCTCCGTTGTAATTTACAATACTACATTCTGTAACTTCATCCCTCGATAAAATCAATTCTATCATTGCAATTTAGTTTAAAATGTGAACTTTTACTTCAAATATATATATATATATATATATATATATATATTGTTGATATTTACAAGTATTGAGATATTTGAGGGTTCCTAGGGATCACCGCAACTAGTTCTCCACTATTTTGAACTAGTTGTACGATCATACCAGGTCATGCAATCCTTGGATTGACAAGGCTTCACCTTGTTTTTTATAGAAAAGTTTCCATACCTGTTGGTCATTAAAAATTCACATGCTATCCAAGGATTGAATCGGAAGCTAGGGCATACCCTTACAGGCTTTTGCTTTAACTGATTGCATAACTTACTAGAATTCCTTTTAGGAGTAATTTGCGAAATTCCGGGGCAACCCAACCCAAACTTTTGCTCATATATTCACGTGTTCTTTAATTAGAGAAATCTCATTACATTATATAACATTGGATTTTACCCAAGGCTCATTTCCTGGTAAAAAGAAAGCAGCCATTGGTGCTGTGAGCTGACCACTGAGTATTCATCAGAATGGTAATTTCTCTTTTAGGATTATAATAACAACAATAACCGAGGGCCGCGGATAACCAGTAAACACAGGCACGAAGAACGTTGATGAAAGTTCCCCTCCTTAACAGGTAAATTAGGGGTTATCGTAGGGGATAGAACCGAGCATTTTAAAGAGCAATGACAACAATCGCAACCTTTAGACAGATCATAGTATATATTAAGTATTGCTATGTAATTCTGACAAATTGATACAGATACAAAGGGAATACAGATTTAAGTTTAACGGTTGCTCGAAACTAAAGATGATCTTTCAGCAGTCACCAATTTTCTACGAAACTTCTTTGCATTTCTCCTATGTAGAGCCCATCTTTCTTTAATGTTAGATGACTTGTCACGTTGTTTATCATCATATAAGCTCCACTCTTCACATTTCTCAGTATCAAAACCTGCCCTGATTCTGCCTGCTTCAGCAACCAGATCATTTACAATCATGTCAGTAGTCCTGGCGGTGATTCCTCTTAGGTACCAGGAAATTGGTGGTGGTGGAACAATTGCTGGTTGGATTAACTGATCCAAGCTCACCTTTGACCCTATCCTTCCTTTGCCTCTTGTACATGAACAATAGTCTGCCAATGTTTTAGGTTTGAATGGATAGCAGATTGCTTCATCAACAAATAGAGGTTCCACCTTCCAGTAGCCTTCGAATCTTTCCATGAACCCAGTTTTCACTTGCTTGAACTTCATCTGTCAAGCAATTACCAGGCATTAGGGGATCGCTATTGGATTAGGCAAGTTTACGGTAATGATGTGCACTATTATAGGAGAACTAAAAGTATGACTACAAGATAGATCAGGAATTAGGTGGCTGCTAGCCAAACTAATTCCGTAAAACAAACTCCCAGAAGAATAATCAGATGAATCAGTTTTTGTATTGACAAGGTTTTTTTGACCACCAAAATTCTCCAAAACATCTGTTTTCTCAGGTGATCAAAGAAATCATGGTCGACAAATCGTTCATGTGCTTGTGGAATTTGAGTTTCCTGAACAAAGTCATCCAATGTTATCTCACTAAATTCACCCAGTCTATATTCCTTCCCACAACAAGCACTCCCCGCCCGAAGTGAAAAACCATCTATATAATTCACATTAGGAATTTATTCAAGATTCTGACTCACAGAAACATGCCATGAAGAGAACAAACAAATCTTCAGCAGACGGGTTGAAAACATGCTTCCAATTACTTATGGCAGCAATAGAAACAGTAGAAAGAAAAACGTAGATCCTTACTGAGTGATCTTGTCTGTTCTGATCAACCAAAACATGAACTGATATAGTCCCAGACCACCAAAGAAATTTCCAGATAGCAGCTTGCTCTACATCAACCACCTGCCTGTCACCTTCATCAAGCAAAACTCTCCTGGATATCACTTCCTAGACATAAATTTATTTTCTCCTCACATTAATATATAGAATTTCAATGGGATACTTAAAACTTTTAAATTAAGCAAATAACAGTTACAAGGACAAGTGACATGGATTTCTTTTCTTTATTTAAATTTAAATTGAAGACTAATTCTCACAATTAAGGAGAAAAAGATTTTCGATGACCAAACCAGTGTTTTAAGAAATAGTTTACTTTGGTTGGAATAAAGGCAGCAAGAGGATAAGAGAGATTCAACTTACCTTGATATTTTTGAAAACTCTCCTATTATCTGGGTCAGTCACAATATTATACACTGCATCTGGAGGCAACCCGATATCGACTTTAGCATTGAGGTTGCAGAGAGAACCTCTTGGTACACTGACCTGCCAAGAATAACATGAGATTCCAAGCATATTATATTTTTTACGACTCAATCAACCCTCCTTAGCATTGAAAGGCAACAGACTGGACAATACGACAGACAGTTTCTTTAATAGTTGTTCACCTTTATTTGTGGAAGTAGATCAGTCCAGGCAGGATTTTCTCTCCAAGCTTGCAATTGCTTCTCCAAATCAATCCCCAATGCAGGAGCAGGAGCAACAGCGGCAGAAGTAGCAGCAGATGATCCTTTCTGTTTTCTCACTAAGTTTTCGCCTTCACCAACTTTTACTAATTTCTTGAGTTGTGACTGTTGCAAGATTATAGTAGAATTTCCTTTCTTTAAACTATCACAAGGCTAACTTATCCAACATAGATGAAAAAGACTAACCTTAACACAATCTTGAAGCTTGTTTGGGAGCTGCACAAGAAATGATGGATCAAAAGCTTTGAGGGTTCCATTACCCGTACTCTTGGGAATTCCTACGCTTGCTCTTCTCACTTTTGTTTCACCCATTAGCCTGAATTTCAAAGAATATATTCTCTCTTAAATCCCATGGCAGTAAAAAAAAAAAAAAAAAAGCACCAAGGAGAGGTGGGGGAAGCTAAAAAGAAATACTAACAAATTACCATTTAGAACTCAAATTACAAAACCCAGTTAGTATATATCATCATTGAAAGATAAACACAGCAAAAAAAAAGATGGAAACTTAACCTACTCTTTTCTTTTAATTATTAGTATTTTGAGAACGGAAAAAAACTGCAGAAAATGAACTTTGTTATTATTATTATTCGCAAATAATTCATGTTGCAGAAACAGAGGGAAAGGATTCACTTACAGTTAAAGAGCGGCTCAATCTCTCGATCTGTAAGACTATAGTTATTGACTAAGAATAAAATGGATAGATCCCTTTTGCAGGCAGAAGAAGAAGCAGCAGCAGTGGCAACTTGACTTGCATATCCTTTCTTTTTGTTGAGAATTCAGAGGGTTAGCAACACGTGATGAAATTGCAAAATCCAAGAGAAATGTTAAAATAAAAAATAAATTTGTAACTGTTAAATTTAATTTTTTAACTGAATTATATAAACAGAATTAATTTACTTATTTTTTTTTTAAAAAAAAAAAATTGAAATCACCAAGCATTTGAAGTCATTCTAACACTCAATCCAGTAATCTCCAAGGATGTCTGATTTCCATCCACTTAAAACTCTTGGATGTGACAATAATTGTCCCATTTTGTTTTATGTCTTGTTTCTCATGTAGTGCCCTACTTAGAATTCACCTCCTTCAACCATTACAACTCCCCCTTTCTAATTCTCCTCTACCACCATCACCACCTATAGCTTACCAAATTAAATCCAATCATCCTGTCCTAAAGCTTTGAGATAGGATGAGAAGAGAAGAGCCTTTTTTGGTGGTGCTGTAATTGAGGTTTTAATAGTCGTGTATGCTTATTAATTAATGCATTTTGTCTATTTATCTATTTGATTTCTATATATAATAGTAGAAAAAAGAAAATAAAAGAATAAATAATTCTAACCGTGTTCCATGGTGATGATACATGACCTACTTATTTGTTAGTAAATTTGAATAATAACCAATAATATTTTTTTATCTATTAAAAATTGAAACATATATTGAGTCCATCTTGCTGTATATGCAGGGAAAAAAGAAGAAGAAAATTTAAAATATTTATATCAAGTTGAAGAAGAAAAAATAGGAGAAACATTTAACTAAAAACTTTGAATTACAATATTTTAACATAGATTTATCATGAATGATTAATTGAAAGCTTGTATCATAAACTTTTGTTCGACACATACAAATACATGGAATATTTTTCGGTAAAATATAAAAGCAAAAAAACAAAGACAACAATCTTTAATACTATATTAACTTACATCAAGTAATTTAAATTATTTAAGAATTTTATGATAATATAAGAATTGAATTATATATTATTTACATATTTATTATTTTTTTGCTAAAACTATTTTATGACATTAGACCTAACAAAGCATACCAAACATGGGATTCATGTCAGTTAAAAGAAAAAAAAATGAAAAGGATGAAATGAACGATGTCATTTTGCATTAATTATCCCTTTAATAACCCACTCCAACCTATGCTTAGATAAAATTTTTGAAGCAATAGTATGTTGAGCTATAGAATATATGATTTTTGTGTTTAAAGTTAAAACCTTCCAATTCTTAGAGGATGCTTGATTAGATGTGCTCAAAGGTTTCCAACAAAGGATCGACGGGTAGATTAATTAGGATAAAGTGGCCAATTATTAATCGAACACAGCTTCTATATAATTTTCTCATAATGGTGTGAACAAGAGGACGATGAAGGTGAAATGGAAACCAATCCAACAGAAATTATTAACGAAATGTTAATAGAAACCTATCAATGCAAAAATAATCCCAACAAGCCTATTAGTTGAAATTTAGATCATAAACCTTAGTCCCATCAAGTCTAAAAATCCCAAAATGCTTCTCGTACTCCTCCCCATTCTTCTCATTCTCATCAAAGAGAGCAAACAAGTAAACTTCCATTTCTTCGTTTGGTCGTCTAGGTGTCCCAGCATAGTTCCCCACTCGTCTCACCACATTCTCATTATACGCCATTGCGTTCACCACACTTGCTGCCTCACCACCGGCGGTCGGCCACCCTGTTTCTGATACGACAATCTTAATCCCCTGAAATCCTTCTCTCTCCATTGCATACACAAATGCATCAACACTGGCATCAAAAAGATTAGCATACTTGAACTCACCATCTTGAACTACATTTTGGCTTCTAAACAGGGCATAATCTAGTGATATATGTTCCATATTGTTTGCGTAGCTTATGTAAGGATAAACGTTAACCATGAAAGGAGATGAGGTGTCATGTAAAAATTCCAAAAGAGGGATCATAACAGAGCGGAGATGAGGGTCAAATACTGCAGATGATGGAGGATATGAAATAGCGAGCACAGATGCAGCTTGCGGTGATGATAACTTAATAGTAGTTGCTAGATTTAGTATTTGTAGTGCTTGGTAAATGTTCATCATGGCAGGAACTACATAAGGAGTATAGAATGGATCTTTAAGAAAGACTTCATTTCCAACAGCAATGTATTTGACTTGGATAGTGGGAATATTGGAGAAAACATTGGATTGAAGCCATTCGAGAGAGGAGTTAGGAGTGCTGGTGGCAAGAGAAGGGAGACTTTCGTTGGGAATGTCAACCATAACTCTGATTCCAGTCCTTGATAGTGATTTTAATGCTGTTGCATCAGTATCAAAGATGCGAATGTTTGTGATGCCATTAGAATTAAAGAGGTTGACGATGGTGGATGCTGGTGGGAGGTTGTTAGCAACACGACCATAGCATACTCCAATTGGTGCAGCAGCTGCATGCAACAAATTAAGAAACATCAAAATTGAATAAACCTCACAAGTTAAAATCTTGATTTTAATTATTTCACCACATAGATGTATAATGAGCCAGGAAAGAAAAGAAAAGTAGTTGAATATGTTTCCTTAATTTGAAAAGTAGCACTCCAGTCAATTTACGCTTGTAATTCAAGAACAACCATGCCTTCCTTTTTTTCTAGAAGATCTCAGGTTCAAAGCTTTTCTTTTCTTTTCTTTGTAATTAAAAAAGGAATTAAGTAGCTAGGACTCATGTAGATAAGTATTTCTTTCAATAATATTAAAGCAACGACTTGATATATATATACCTGTTGAACAAGAGACAAGGAAGATGATGAAGACAACCGGGTATAGATAAAGCCAGGAGCACTGTTGAATTCTCTCTAGCATCATTAGTTTGGATTTGAACAAAAGATGACCAAGATAGAACAAACTCGACTTTGATGATTTTATTAGTAAATTTGGATGGTTTTGTCAAAATGGAAGGTGTAGGGTAGATTAGAAATGGATGTCATGAAATAGATACGACATTGGTTTCACTTTCAAACTAACAGATTGATTTGGGTTTGTTTCTGGTTTGAATAACCCAAATGAAAACCTCTCAACAAGGAAAACAAAAAAGTTTATGCGTGGTTTTCCCATAATGTTTCAATTTCTTTTATTTCTTACTGTTATCACCAATATTTATTTATTGAATTTTTGGTATACCATTATCTTAATTTAAACACTTGTCCCTAAGCTAACTTTCTAAGCGTAAGGTTACAAACTTTGTGATTAATATTAGTTTTTTTTTCTATATTGTTTTTGTTTGTCGAGTGATAACTCCAAATTTATATTAAAATAACTTGTCACTAAAATATGGACTTGAGAATAATTGAATTATGCATATTGGAACCAAATAACTTGTAGTATAATTATAATGATCTCTTACAATAAGAAGTAACGAGTTCAAATCCTAACAAATTAGTTATATTAAGAGATTAAATGTGTGAATTTAAAAAAAATATATATATGTATATTAGATGGTTGGTTATGGATGTATTTATTATATTGATCTTAAATCCACATCAAAATCTACTTCAATTATAATAAGGACCAAAAGAAAGGTAACAAAAGTTTTTTTCTACAAAGAAAGCGGTTATTTAAAAAAAAAAAAACAGTAATTTTTTTTTTTTTTAATAAAATTTGATAGAAGAATATGTATAACAGTTATCTACAAAGTGGCTATGAACAAGTATTCTAGTGTTCTCTTCGTTATTTACTTTTTAGAAAGTTAAGTTTCAAGAGATTACAATCACCTAAAATTTTTATTTGAATACATCACTATTCTATATATTTTTTGTATCTTCTTCCCAGTATATATATATTCTCTTCCCAAGCTATAAGCTATTTATTTGGATGATTGTCGTATTTTAATATATTTATTACAATTATCTACTGTTATCTTTTCATTACTGAAATATTTTTATCGATTTTGATAAAAAAATATATATATATACAGAACAAATGGAAGTGAGGTGGCTAAGAGAATTTAATGTTAACTATTTTAAGGAGTTAAAGCATTAAAGCATCTCTGCACTTCATTGATTTAGTTTATTTTGTTCGTATACTATTATTTTAGTTTATTATATGCTCTATAATTATATTTTCTTAACTCAATATGTCATCCGTTCAAATAAACAATGAATCAAGATTTGTTTGGACACATCCAAAGTGACACATATTTAAATTTTAATTTAGATGCATTTTTTTTTCAGTAAAAGAACAAATTATAAACAAAGAAAAAAATAAAAGAAAATTTAAAAATATTTTCAATAAAAAATTGTTTTAAAAATTATTTATTTATAGTTTTTTTCAAGAATTACATTTAATTTTTCAAGAAAATTATAAATAAAAAATTAATAAATTTTCTTTTAAATTTTTTCAGCAAAATTATAAATAAAGAAATAAAAGAATTTTTTTATGTTTTTTAGGAAAATTATAAATAAAGATAAAATATATATTAAAAAATAGTTCTTTTAATGAAAAAAATTCTAAATAAAGGATTTTTTTAAAAGAAAAATGTATTCTTTTACTGAAAATTATTTTTTATTTTTAAAATTTTCTCTTTTACTGATTTTGTTTGTCTCTAAATTAAATTTTGGACAAATGTTAGTGTACGAGCATGCCATATATCCTAAGGTAATCATGATTTGTTATTTGTTTAATCAAAGAACATATTGAGTCAATAAAATGTAACTGAAGTACATAATAAATTAAAATAATAGTACATCGACATAGTATAGAAACAATTCAGTGCTGTGGGTTCCATATGGCATTACTCATGAAAAATGACTCCTGACTTTAAATTATAATTCAAAAAATATTTTTCATAAATAATTAATAACAAAAATGAGTGAAGTTATAAAAGTATTTAGTAAAAATTGACTCAAATAACTTTTTGAATGAAAGGAGGCAATATAATTTAGAATCAACAAGTTAAAAATAAAAAATAAAAAATAAAAATTTAACTTTTATTTAAGTCTTAATTTACAATTTTTATTTAAGCCTTAATTTATAAAATAACTTAAAAATCAATTTACGAAAATCGAATCAACGGAACCTAAATCAAGCGGGTTTTGGTTGTCTAGAATCTTTCTTTTCGTAATTGATCTAATTTTCATTCAATCCCTTTAATTAAAATTTTATTTTAATCACACCACAATCAACTTTTACGAAAATAGGCCCATGATGTGATGGAGGCTTTTCGGTCCTCATAAATAAGCTCACTTTAGTCCCCACATGCCAATTTTTTTCTTACACACGTGTTTCTATGTAACCAATAATACTTAAAGTTGGTTCTAGATTTTGAAATTCTTCTGAATTTATATGTTTGTTACAAAATATGACAATTTCATTTTAGCCAATAGCCCGTTGTAATTATTTTTGCGTCAAAATTTGGCTCGAATTCTTCAAAATGATTAGAAAAACTTATTCAAATTCTGAATTTATCCTTATAATGAATTCAATTATTTAATTGATAGGTTTCATTATTAACACACTTAAATTCATAATCTAGATGGGTACAAAATATTGTAGGAAATCGAGTTTTGGTACTTTCGTTTTTCTTGCATTTTCAAATTAAAGGATCAAATTGAACTTTTTTAATTCTTTGAAGGTTGCATAGGCAAAAAGATACTATAAAAATTGTAAAATTTCTTCTCTATTTAGGACTTGTTTGCATAGTTATAAAATTTTAGGATCAAAATTCACTAATGCGTTTGCGCCTAAAGAATCTTTGTCAGGAGTGTATCGTTTCCCTAAATTATTATATCATTGCTCCAATCATAGAGAAGAAACAAGAACATCAGGCTCTGCCCATTATATCAGAATCCTTCTTTCAAAAAGGAAGGAATAAAGATGACAATCAACAGAGTGTGACCCATTATGTTTGTGGATGGGAAAAACAGCGCCAGATGTGTCCCATATCCCAGTTTCGAACTCCGTATTCTTCGTTTCTAAAGTTGCTGCTAGCCTGCAACTTGGACCGAAGACCGAACTCTTGAAGCAAACTTTGAAAGTGTTCCACGATTTCTTTATCCTTATTAAAATAAGTTACATCCATTCACAGCAATATCCAGGTAATGGCTGCAGCTATTTGTTGTTCTAATTTTACAGCTTGAAGAGTATCATTTCATTAAATGTATGTGTTCTTTAGTATTAAGAACCAAATTAACCACCCATTTCTCCTTAAAGAGAAAGCATGTTGTTATAAGGAGCTAGAGCTTCTTTAGTTTATGTATTCCTGATAATGACTAGTGATACGATCCTTGATACTATCATGCCAATCAACATGTTTATGTCCATGTTTCTAAATCAATATATCAATTATTATGTTAATATATATGAACATATTACGCTAACTAATAAACGATAAGTAGACTTATTAATAACTATACTAATAAAAATTCAAATATAGCTACTAATTTGTCTTACATAGGCATTATTTTATCACGTGGCCGCAGAATGTAATTGTGCCCATGCATAGATACTTCGGATCAATTTGGGACAAGTAAATCAACGGCTAGGGAACACAAACCTTCTTAATTATATGGTCCGTGCCGGAGATTGCCCCATTTCAATGATCATTAAATTAATATCAAGCACTAGTAGTAAACAGAATTGCTACTTTACACGTGCCTTTGAGAATTGTGTCTATCTAAAGACTCCAAAATCTTTCTTTCTCTAATTACAAAGCAAGTGCAAGTGCACCTTCTACGCGGTAAAGAACACCGAATATCTTTAGTTGTCTCTTTATTAAAGAACGTTCTTTAATTTCTTTATTGAACTTGAAGAGGATAAAGAAGGAAAAAAAAAAAAAACCACACACAACATATTTGAAACCCAAAAATACGTAACCCCTTTTATAGGCAATGCTAGCCATCGCTTGCCCCATGAGTTTACCTTAGTCTTCCTTGATTAATCTGCACTCAAAGAACAAGAGCGGCAGAGTACTGATAATTATAACATAAAGCCCAAGCTTTTCTATCATCATCCAACCAGTTGTACGAGAAAAATGTCTATACAGCAACCACCACCACAACAACAACAACAGCCTGTTGTCCTTTACCCAAACACTGTCACAAGGCAGACCCCTTCTTCTCACTCAAATGGATCATTTGGCACCGTTTTCATAGTTCTGGCAGTGATTGTTGTGATATCAGCTATTGCTTGCTGTCTTGGCAGAATTTGCAACAAGCGTCTAAACAAGCAGAAAGCCAACAACAAGACCAACCTGCAGCACAGCCAACACAATCCGAACTTTCGTCCCAAGGAAAGGGGAAGGGAAAGGGAAAGCGACGTTGAATTTGGGTTTGAGAAGGGATTTTCAGCAGCCGGGCCTACTAACATTAACGGATCAGCCCCCAGAGGACACAAGCCATTTGGAAATGGTCATTTCAGTGGTCATAATACTAGAGGTGATCACACAAATACTTCTGTTGGTGATCATGGCGAGCCCAACGCTGGTCCTTGAATGAATTTCTTTATCATATTCATGTAGCTAGGCTACAATTGGCTGGTGCCTCTTCTATCAAAATCTGGTTTCCTTTGTCATTTCTTTTTACTATTTTCCAGTTGCAGCTAGTTTGAAATACTATGTAATTATTATTTGACTCAATTATATTGGCTTTTATCATTTCAACATACGGTAATTAAACTCGTTGAGGGAATTTTCCTTCGTGCATATATACTTCAGCTTTCAGTCATTCATTTAATCGTTGTATATTCATTTTGAGCCAAATAAAAAGGTAATCTCTTTAGTTAAAAAAATCAAGTATCGAATCCCTGTATTTTATATTTGCTTTTGATGTTATTTCTTCCATCAATTTAATCATTTTTTCCTTAAATATCATCCATTTTAAGTCAATTTTCCCAATCTACTCTCTACATACAAAACAAAAATACGTTTAAAAACGGTAGTTTGGACATTAAAAATATAACAATCAACTTGGTCAGAGGCTAACTTAGTTTTCAAAATAAAAAGGACTAAATCACAAAATCATCAAAAACATAAGGACTAGGAATTATTATTCCCTTACTCGCACATAACTTTGGTCAAGTAAGGATGTCAATTTAACCGAATCCGGTCTGATATTTGGTGTCATTCAATCTGATTAGATTGGATTTTTATTTGGTTTGACTCTGATCAAACCAGAAGTGAGCAAAATCCGACCCGAATTGATCGAAGTCAGACACTAAGACGGGTGACCCGATTCTAAATGATACAGAAAAAACACCTATAATTGGAGTCATAGTAAAGATAGTAATGCTGATCATTTAGTCGGCGTGAGAGACATTTGAAATTTAAACGTGGATGACATATTTTTAGTTTTAGGTAGGGATGATAAAAAAGATGTTTATTCCATATATTTTGATATTGAGTTTGTGTTTGTTTGGAGGAAAATAATTTTCGAGTAGGAAAAGCAATTCTAGGGAAGATGTTTTTCAAGAAGTTATTTTTTGAAAAATATTTTCTGATATTTGGCAATTATATGAAAAAACTATTGAAAAATATTTTTCAGCGTTTGTTTGATACGGAAAAATAAAATATAAAAGTAGGTAAATATTACTACAATTTCATGATTACAAATCCATCGTGTGCATTTTCAAGTTTTGCTTTTCTTGATTTTGTACAAAATTGCTCTCTATAATGTGGCCACGCCAAATATATATATATATATTTGAACTTTTTTTTAACATGTTTCTATTGGTATTTTTTAGTAGAATTATTTTATTTTATTTTATTTTTAGCATGAGAAAAGAAATAAAGTTAATCTTGTTTAAATTTTTTATATTAAAATTCATAAACTTAAACTAATAAATAATAATGTGATATTTTGTAATTGAAATAATACTACTTATAATTTAAAAAAAAATTGATGAGCTGAATTTTAATATAATTAAAGGATAAAAATTTGGTTTGAAATTTTTTTAATATGACAACTAAAACATAAAAAAGAAAATAATATAATTAGCTATAAAAAAGGTCATATAATAAAATTATAATGAAAAACTTGGTTGGATAAATAAAATAAAAAGCTTTTTCCATTCTATCAATTTATCTCATAAGCCATACATTCGATCAAGAAATAAAACGAAGTAAATACATTGATGATGCTTTGAAATCACGAGTCACTTTGTATAACATAATCATTCCATATATCCGATGCAATGACATCTCTTTTCGCTGGCCATTCCCTATTCTTTTCCTTTTCCTCTCTTTAACTTAAACGTGTTCTATCCATAATCATGGATTGGTTTGATGTGGTAATTTCTTCCACAACATAATCATCATGGTCAACTTCTATTATATGATTATGAAGGATACAACTTGCAAGCACGATGTTCACTTGAGTTTTGTAGGACCAAAATGGTCGAGCATCAATACATTGAAATCTTTTCTTTAGTATGCCGAAACCACGTTCAATTGTTGTTTACAAGGAAGAATGATGAAGATTAAATAACTCCTTTACATTCTCGAGTGGATACTTAGTAAACTCGTTTAGATGGTATTGAACACCAAGATATGGAGTTATCACTCCATTTTGGGCTTCGTAACCAGCATCACTAAGATTAAATAACTCCTTTGCATTCTTAGGTGGATGCTCGGTAAACTCGTTTAGATGGTATCAAACACCACGATATGGAGTTATCACTCCATTTCGGGTTCCGTAACCAACATCACCAAGATAATATTTACCTATAAATTTTATGAAATATACTACTAATAAATATTTGTATACATGCATAACTATATGTGTAGAAAATGTATGTTAAAAATTTTATTTAATACCTTTTGGAATCTTAAGTCCTTCGGATCATGATAATGCATCGTTTAAGACACGAGAATCATGTACACTTCCTTCCCAACCAACTAAAATATAAGTAAATTTTAATTCAAAATTGATGGTCGCCAACACATTCTATGTTGTTCCATTCTTTCTACCACGAAACTTTCCTTGTAGTTCCACATGTACACTTACCGGAATATGGGTACCATCAAGTGCTCCAATGCAATTCTAAATAAAAAATTAATATTTATGAAAATCTAATTTTTAATGAAACTACCTAAATTAATTTTTTTTTTTTACAAATAAAGGAGATAACTAACCTTAAAATATGAAGAAAATCTTTCATTGTTGGAAATTACTTCGGGTATTGAGTTAGGTGGGTCTTGAATGAGATATGGGTATAGTTTTAGAATTTTTGCCGATACAATTCTAAAATATCTATGCACCGTATCAATGTATCTATAAAATTTTTCACTAATAAATCGAAATCTTGCATTGTGTCCGTAACATCCCCAATTGTTCTCTAATGGTCATATTTTTAGTTGATTGTAAAAGGTTGATTGTCTTCAAAACCTCACACAATTTGTCAAATGAATTTAGTGACATACAAATTTATGCAATATAATGCCAATCACCTCAATTAAGTATACTATTTATATAAAACTCTTTCATATAACTTTCATCAATTCGAGGTTATCTTGGTATGGTAGTCCTATTTTCATACTCATCAACTATATGACATACGAGTGATTGCAATTGAAGCACATGTCGTGCCTATGCGATGAATCAATTTTCTATCCATCTACATAAAAATTTCAAATATATTGAATATCAAATATATAAGTTATCAAACAAATAAACGAGAAGATTTAAAAATGTCACGTATATAGTTTTCAAATGATCAAATATTTCGCTTTCGGACTTGTGATCTTATACTAGTAAAAGTACAACTTAGCAAAAAATGTTGGATAAGACAATACATAACATATACTTCCTCGATGCCAAGTAAAGATGTATACCCGAATATGATGATCAAGTTTTCCTTTTTCAAAAGTCACATAAAAGTCTAATAGAAGCTTCCCGCAACAAAAGTGAAATGCATATATTATTAAACTAGTTTAGTTTCAAATGAACATGACGTTAAAATAATTATTCATCAAGAAAACAAGAACTCATAGTGGTAGAAATGGTGAGAAGTATCAAGTAATAGGTAACTAATATAATGCAGTTATGGTTGATTTATGTCAAATTTCAATTTAGTATTTCGATCTATAAAATTTCCATGATTTAGTGCCCTCGGCGTTGACTCCATGCTTCTAAATGTGTGGTCTAATGAAAGCTATTTAAAGTAAAAGTTTTCTAGTTTCAAAGATAATAAAATGAAAGAGGGGGAAAATAGTATTCACAAACCCACATTTCCACAAATATCATATGCCAACTAGAATTATCGTTACCGATAAACAATAAGTTTCAAAAAAAGATATTGCAAACACCATAACCTCGAACCTTCATCATTGCAAATCATAATAATCCATACGCTCATAACAAGAACTAGTCCATATAGTAATATCAATTATTCCTTACGTGTCAATAAAGTTACCACTCTAATTTAAAGAACCCATATTCCGAAGAGAAACATCATTAAACCTTTCCAAAGCCAAAATAAGACTTGAGTACCTAAATTCCCTTTACCATAAGCCTTAAGAGACAAATAAAGTTGTTGGGATAAAGCCAATCTCGGCAAAGCAAGTCCCATATTTTGACACTCCTTCAAACAAATCCTTAAGTCTTTCATAAAATGATTTACATAAAACCCAACTTCAAAATCCCTCTTTAAAATTATACTCCTATATAAATCTAGTGACTTTGACCACGTAGACCGAGTTGAAATTGCATTTAAATAAGATTAATGGAAATGTTTTATGTTTATACCCTTCCTAAAACTAAACTAAGAAAATTATTTCAAATTAGACCTAGTTGAAATTGCATTTAAATAAGATTCATGGAAATTTTTTATGTTTATACCCTTACTAAAACAAAACTAAGAAAATTATTACAAACCGGAACCAGTTGAAATTGCATTTAAATAAGATTCATGGAAATTTTTTATGTTTATACCCTCACTAAAACTAAACTAAGAAAATTATTACAAACCGGACTCGAGAGATCTATACAAGCTTCTATAGCTTAGTTGGTTAGAGCACCCATTTAGTAAGCGGGAGGTCTTGAGTTCGACTCTCAATGAAAGCGAGGAACTACTACATTTTCTTTACCCTTTTTCTTTACATGTTCACCCAAAAAACCTCGTGCTTTCCGGAAGTCCCTATAAAAAGCTCCTTTTGAATCGTAAGTTATCATTTCTTCTATCCTCCACTTACCAATATTTCTATTTAAGATATGGGTTTTGAATGTGTTTATCAAGACGCATCTTCAATCCGTTTATCTTAATGAATGATGAAGTTACATGCGGGATAAATTGGCGCAAGAGCGAGGTGGAATTCTCTTCGGATGCCTATAAAATGTTTGAATTAGTAGGACTATGAATGTTTTATTTTATTTTTATTTTTTTAACTTTAAGCATCTAAGGCGAGAAAAACTTCTCATTTATTCCTCGAGTGTCATCCATCAAAGAAATATGGCACAAATCAAATTTGAACAATGAATGGTTAATCTTATCGGATAGTTGGTAGATTCAAGACATATTTCTTAATTCATTTCTACCATTAACCAGCTATAGGGTAATTATTGTTCAAGTACACTCGACAAATTTTGTATATAACTATGTACTATTTTTTTTATGTCTTTTAATAAAGCGAGAATAAGTAGATGCATTTGAACATAAACATATGATGCCATGTTAAAGTTGTACCATGGAATGTACAAAAACATAGTGGATATAAGATTAAATGGTTTCTACTATATTCTATTGTCCTCCCTCATATTTGCTTTGGTTTTAAATCTGCTTTACATCGTCAATGGCTATAAACCCGCAATTAACACAAACATGTTTAGTAACTTCATCTACTTCAAAAAATAACGAAGACTTCGAAGAGTTGTATAGACATTGATAAGAGGAAAGCATGACATATTACAAATCCCGGACAATTCTTTAGTACTTTAAAACAAAAAAACACCCCATATGTAGGATCAAGCAAGAAGTTCATATATTTGAAGTCAAATGCCCATATGCCATCAAACAAAAGCTATAATTCACAAAATCACATAACTAAAAAGATTCATTGAATGTTCAAGTAGTGAAATTCAGTTTTTATCATCACCGATGAAGTGAAAACTACATCAACATTAAAGCAACAAGAGAAAATCATTTAAGTTCTCATTACAAATGCAAAAGAGAAAAAATAACAAAATATTATGTAAAGAACCGTATTTTGACTTGGATTGTAACTTTAAAAAAGCCAAGCGACCTAACTTTAAATTACAATTCAAACTTACGTCGATTAGATACATGTAATGAAGAAAATTATCAAAAGAACTAAAGCTAGTCCTACTATTTTATCGGAAAGCATTACTTTCCATTCTAGCTCAAAATGGGAAAGCACTCGTCATGCAAACTACACACAACCTAGTCCAGTACCAAATAACAAAGGTCCTTTTTTCTTGATTATGTTAAGCTTAGGAATAGAGTTCCAATTAGCTACCATGACACCAAATCCTTTTCTCGTACTTCTTCCCATATTATTTCGATCTCAACTCGCCTCTATTATAAATAAATCCTATCATGTTTGTACATTCATTTAATATCCTCATCTCAACTCTGCCTCTATCATAAATATATTGATTGTTAATGCCTAGCAGTCACTTTTTTAGGGCATATTAGCATAGTCGACTTAATCGGGGTTTCATAAATTCATACTTGAAATTAATAAAAGGTCCAAAATGTTGTAGAACACTATTTGCATTTCTCTATTTTAATCATCCTATTATGGTTCTATTGCTAGGATCTTCCTTAATGGCCCTTCCTTTTTTACAATAGAGCCTAGGTATCGAAAATTATCATCATGGGCACCTCTCCACAATAAAATCCAACAACACATCCTTTTTGATTCCTTAAGTTGCCAACATTAATGTGATATCCCAATAAAAGCGCCAAGAGGGCATTGACCCTTGAATACAAAACGAGACCCAGTGGTTAAACCTTCTAAGATATATTAATTTTTGTTTAGGATATATTAATTTCAATGTTTCCAACGATAAAAAATCGACAATCAAATCCCATTCACACATATTCTTCCACTTGTTGAGTTAATTTTTAACGACTAGCTTTCACAACGAGATAGAAACTTTTACAAGATGTTTGTTGTATTAATACTTGAGGACTACAAGAATTAAATAGGGTTTGGTCTAATGGATTAGTTCTCTAGTTTTGAAGATACAACAGCAGTTTATAAGGAGTAACAAAAGGAAGTGACGGACCACGAGGAGGAAGACACACAAATAAATAATCGGATAATATTACATAAGGAATCGAATCTAAAAGAGGAAGACACACAAAAATCTTTCAAATCGGACAATAATACATAAGAAATCACAATAGATCTAACCATTCTTTTGCGAGGCTTTGTTTGCTCGGTAGTGGTGTTAACTTTGTTGTGACGGTGTTGGGTGGTGAAGATGTCCTTGGGTCGGCTTTAGGCAACAATGAAACAGGTGGGTTTGAGGGAGAACATGGATGGACAACTCTAGAGCTTTAGAGAGAAAATGTTTTCTCATTTTTTTTTAGGAAGTCGGTTTCCCAAAACTTACCTTTTAATTTTCCTTGACTCGAAAAATAAGTTTCTATGACTTTTTTTCGACGTAGCCAAACAAACATAGAAAAGGGGAAAAACAAGTTCCGGGAACTTGTTTTTTCGAAAACAAACACACCTTGAAAATCAAGTTTTTGGGATTGACAATAATCGGTCTTTTTTGAGTGAACTAGGAAAAGAATTTTCTAGTTATTTGTTTGCTAGGTTGTCTCTTGTCCGCCCATGGATTCGACAACAGTTTGAAAGGTTGACCTATTTAAGAATATCCGGATCTATGCTTATTTTCAAGTCCCTAAAGCATTTCGTCGCTTACTATGCCCTTCTTCGTCTCTAGGAGCCTAGGTATCCACCGTAAACCTTTCCTCTCATTTGAACCTTGCCCTTTGTTCACCCAATTCGATTTATTTATTTTAATAAGTTGTAATTTTATGTTTGAATGATAATGTATGGATTTTATCATGTGATTCATGAAGGATTTTGTGATTTTATATATTTCGAAGTTTTAAAGAGTTTATTTTTAATCTTAAATTTTATTTTTGTAAAATTAATCGAGAAAAAAGAGAGATAGTATTCGTTGGTCACGGAAAGTCCTTCACCTTACCCAACCAGAATATATCAAATGCAAAGGAAAGTGATGGATTTTGGTATTCTAGATCAAAAACTGATGGAGTAAATTAAATTCGATCGCAACTTGATCCATTATCGATCCTATAGTTAAAGGACTAATTTATAATTTGCAAAACCATAAGAGCTACCTTGCAAAATCATTAAAGAAAGGAGCACTAAATAATTTTTTACCCTCCCAATGAGATGAGACACACGTACTAGATTCTATCCGACCGATCGTCTATAGCCGACTTAGAGAACTAGGATTATAAAATAATTCCTCAGTATAACTATATAACCTTCTCGTATCCTCAAACAAATTATAAATCAAATTTTCATTTTTTTATTTTCGTTAATTTTAATTGCCAACCAAAAATATATCCAAAGAGATCAAAATTCCCTTTTCTCTCGAATGTAAATTTTCATGTTGTGGTTTTGTGAAATCATTTGCCTACCATCTACATTTCTTTAGTCTCAAGAAAGAAAAAAATAAAAATAAATAATTAAGGTTTTTATTTTTATGATTACCTTTAAGAGTAATATAAGTACAACAATTAGGATAACAATGGAGTCGGTACTTGGCTTAATAATTTAATTTTTTATTATACTTATTAAAAAAAATACTTTATCTATATTTATTAAGAAATTACTCCATAAATTCATACACGACTCACATAAAATTTGCCTGTCTATTTAATACCCATTAAACAATCTATCAAAATGTTTCATTTTATTCCACATAATTGTCAAAGCAAGATATTTTGGTCCTCAAAGTTATTTTTAACTATCTTGTCCTTACTTTATGAACTCTTTTGGTTCTTAAAGTTTTTATAAAAATATTTTGTTTCCTATTTTATAAATTTTATGCAATTAAGTCCCTACATGTTAACTTTTTTAAATAAAATTAATGGATATTATTAGGATATAAATCGGATTTCATATCTAGAAGACATATTAACATATATGTTTTTTTTTTTTTTACATTTTAATACTTACCGGTCATTCTTAATAAACATTTATAAAGCCGGATAAAACGAGTAATCACTTCATATTCGATTTATTGTCATTCCTATTTTTTATGAATGGATCATTAGAAGAACAACACGTAATGTTATTTATATAATCCAAAAATCTATTGTATAAACTCCAAGTTTATCTTTGCAGATTTATTAATGTTATGCTCAATCTTTATAATTTAGAATTTCCTAACATTACTTTTGTATTTTTCAAAAATTTTTATGCTATCCCTAAACATTAAATAGCGACCAAAATCTAGTGGGTGCACATTTTGAATTTAATCTTCGTGTTTTATCATATGTAGGAAGATTTGAAGTAAAAATGGAGTGAGGAAAGTAGAAGAAAAGGATAAAAAAGTGAGCCTTCAATAATAAACTATTTGGCCGATGTGGGTAAATATTGAAAAACTTATTAAAAACTATAAGAGTAATATTGTTAAATGGAAAACTAGAGAGAGAGATTTGGAAAATCGATGAGTATTTGTGGGACAAAAATGAAGTTTACCCAAAAATATGCCTTCTGTTAGCATGGCTCTCTTCTATTAGTAATACGGCAGCCACGCGCAGTTGTAGACCAACGAAGGAAGGCAGAGAGGTACAAAACGCATGCTCATTCTTTTTTATCATATATATATATATATATATAATAAAGCTCGATCACATTACTTAAAAAACTAAAATAAAATCATATTTTATTATTTATATCACTATTTAAAATACTATTTATGTATTTATAAATCATTATTCTTTTCACTATTCATATCACTTTTGTAACACTTTGGTCCTCAATTTTTTATATATATTTTTTTAAATTTCAAACTTTAATTGTATCGTGATTTAATCTCATTTTATTTTAATTTTTTAATTATTTTTATTATTTAAAATTAACTACTTTAATTTTTTCTTTTTTAAACTCTCTTCTCTTTTTCAATTTCAAACTTTAATTTATTAATTATTTTTATTATTTAAAATTTACTACTTTAATTTGTCTTTTTTTTTTAAAAAAAAAATTCTCTTTTCTTTTTCGATTTCAAACTTTAATTATATTGTGATTTGGTCCTATTTTATTTTAGTATTTTTTGCTAATTATTTTTATTATTTAAAATTTACTACTTTAATTTGTCATTTTTTTTTAAATTCTCATCTAATTAATTTAAAATTATATTTACTGATAGTTTTGATTTATTTTTCTATATGTATGGATTTTGAAATAAATTTTTAGAACATGATTATTTTTTCTTTTGAAAAATAGATTTAGATAATTTTTAAATTATAGTGGAATGATTAATATATATAATTTTTTTAAAATAAATTTGTAGATTAAAAATGTATTCCAAATAATTTTTTCTTGATTTTTTTGATATTATTTAAAATGTACTACGTTAATTTATCATTTTTTTAATTTCAAAATTTAATTAAATTGTGATTTGGTCTATTTTATTTAGTTTTTTTTGTTAATTATTTTTACTATTTAAAATTTACTACTTTAATTTGTCATTTTTTTTAAAATTCTCATTCAATTAATTTAAAAATTATATATATTGACATTTTTGATTTATGTTTTTTTATAGTTATGGATTTTGGAATAAATTCTTAGAACATGATTTTTTTTTCTTTTGAAATATAGATTTATATAATTTTTAAATTAATATTTATAATTTGTTTGAAATACATTTTCAGATTAAAAGTGTATTTCAAATAATTTTTTCTCAATTTTCTTATATTATTTAAAATTTACTACATTAATTTGTCATTTTTTTAAAATTCTTTTTTTTTTTTTTTCAATTTCAAACTTTGATTATATTGTGATTTGGTCCCATTTTGTTTTAGTGTTTTTTGTTAATTATTTTTATTATTTAAAATTTACTACTTTAATTTGTCATTTTTTTTAAATCCTCATCCAATTAATTTAAAATTATAATTACTGATAGTTTTGATTTATGTTTCTATATGTATGAATTTTGAAATAAATTTTTAGAACATGATTATTTTTTCTTTGAAAAATAGATTTAGATAATTTTTAAATTATATTGGCATGATTAATATATATAATTTATCAAAAATATATTTTTAGATTAAAAGTGTATTTTAAATAATTTTTTCTTGGTTTTTTTTTAGAAAAAAACTCAAATTAATTAATTAATAGTTGAAAGTAAAATGTGAAAAATAAAAAGAAGATGGTTGCTCTGCGCGTGAGACTCGTATTCAAGGACTACCCATGCATAATATAGAAATAAAAAAAATATTTAAGAAGGAGGAAAAAAACGAATTCACATGTTCCGTTAATTTTTTTCTTCTTTATATAATCAAAATTAATCGAAATCAAATTTGTAATAATTTTTATTTTAGTCTATTAACTTCAAATTTAGTCAATAGATTCCTTGCAAGTCAATTTTTTTTTATAGTATTTTTTGTTTTGGACTGAAAAGTCTGAACTCACTTAGTATAGTTATGATGTATAAAAAAATATTGAATCGTTATTTTTTTAGAAATTAACTATGCAACTACTACTACACTAAGCATTTATTGTTTATTTATTTATTTTTGAATATTTTAAAATTAACTTATTTTAAAATAAATATTTAAAATTATGTTTTGTCTTAACCACTTAACGATTCAAATTAATATAGTTTTTATTTTAATATTATTCATTCTTTTGTAAATAAATATATAAATAATTTTTTTCACCTTTGATTTCATATATTTTTATAGATTCACATCATAAAACAAATTATCAAACTGAAATGATTTTTCTAAACGATTTTATATATTTTATCCAATCGCAAGTGTAGCGCGGGCAAAAAAAACTAGTATTGTCTAATTAGCCACTTGACCACACATGGAATGATACATACATATATATATATGTATATTGTTCAATCGCAAGTAACTTTTATAAAATGGAATAAGTAATTTGCAATCAATAATAAAAAAATAAATAAAAATTATTAAGATTGGAACTGCAAGTGTATATATATATAAAGGTATTTATTGGTTTATATATATATAAAATGAATTATTTTTTTCGTATCAGTTGAGATTAAGTTCACTATTTTCTTTAAATTAAATTCATATTTTATCACTTTTAATTTTTAGTAGATTCTAATGGTTGGATTTTAAGTTTATCATCAGTTTATATCTATATGGATCTGAAAAGAAAAATTCTTTTAATAATGAGAATCAAATTTCTAATCTACTATAGTTGTATAAGCGCAAATTATATACTATATTATAAAACAATACTCTACCGTATATAAAGCGAAGAATGTAATTAGGCCATACCTACCGTTCATATCAACAGGAAAAAACAACATTAAAAAAATTGCTCAAAAACTGAGTTCATAAACCCATCAAATTTAATGTTTTCTCCAGCACTTTGAGATTTTGTTTTCTTCCGTAAGGTCATCAGTTCGAATCTTTAAACAAAAAAAAACATTTGGTATATCACAACAATTTTCTCTAGTAATCCGCTTTCAGACGTGTTCTAATCTTTTGTTTATTATTGATTATGAATTCAATGATGATGTAGAATACAAATAAGAGTAGTTATTGGTTACCTTCTCTTTTGAAGATTTTGGGTACCACGAATCTGGAATTTTTGTTTTCTTCCGCCAAAGCGTGGCTAACAAATAAGGATTGTAAGTGATCCGATGATTCTGCTTTTCAGTTAAAACTGACATTGCCTCTGCCTGCCTGCGCCCCGTACTCTCTGCACTCTGCACTCTGCAGGCATCAGATTCCCCCTACTATTTGCTACTCATAATCCTCCTCTAATAAAAATGTAAATCCAGAAAAGAAAATAGCATGACAGAATGGAGATTTGGCAGTTTGTGACTGGTTTAAAATTATTTAAATTTGCAGCATAACATGATTAAACCAGTAATAATCCTATTTTTTTCCCAAAAGAAAAACGTAAAAAAAAAAAAAAGAGTCTGTTACAGCTGGTGTGTACTAGCAGTACATGTGCTTCTTTTTTCGGGTTTACTGCTCTTTTTGGCATAAGTATCGAAGGGACTGCCTGCATTTTTTCCTTTCCTATATAGACAGCGCTGTGCTGTTGTTGTTAATTATAAGTATAATAATAACAAATGCAGAGGGCAGAAAACAAAAATTAGAGGGAGACATGAGAGGATTGGAAAGAACAATGGAATGGCTTAGACCCCTTGTTGATTCTAAGGCTTGGGATTACTGTGTTGTATGGAAGTTAGGTGGCGACCCTTCAAGGTACTTGCTTTACTTCTGCTTTCTGCTACTTACCACAAACAAACAATACATGATTGATAGATGATTTTCTTGATTCTTTTTTTTTTTTTTTTTGTGTAGGTTTATTGAATGGGTGGGTTGCTGCTGCAGCGGCGGCGGCGATAATAAAGTGACAAGGGATAGAGGAGGAGACACCCAATTGGGTCCTCTTTGCAAGGATGTCCATTTTAAGCATCCTGTACGTACGGAGGCTTGTGAGGCTCTTTCTCAGTTCCCCTCCTCTATGTCTCTATACTCTGGGTACTCTTTCTACTCCCTAGATTTATTTTTGCAATACTAATGTTACTTTAGCAAAACATGATACTATCTGATTGCTAGAAACAGGATTCATGGAGAGGTGGTGATAACAGCTGAACCCAGATGGTTAAACTTGTGCCATTCCACTACTCATGGCTCCAATACCCTACGAGTGAGTTTTTTCTTCAATCTCTCAATTTCTGGTTTAAAAGTTGTTCTGATTCCCCGTTTTTTGTATAATTTAACCATACATTTATTGCTTTAACATAACACATTGATTTCTTGCATTATTAAACTCATAATGGAAAGGATTTGACATAGAGTAAGGTGATGCTTTTGCTGTTTATTATGTACCATTTAGCGTAGTAACTTGAAAAACATTGGTCCAGGAAGTAGCTGGAACACAAGTTTTGATCCCAGTAATTGGTGGACTTATTGAGCTTTTTGCAGCAAAGCATGTAAGTTTGTTTGTTTGTTTTTTTTTTTTCAAAAATTCTGCTATTGTCATTTATGTGTGAAAAAGCCGTTCAATATTTTTAGATAGTGAAAGATGAGAAGATGATAGAATCTATTAGAGCTCAATGTCATGTCCCTCTCAAACAAGAAGATGTGATTGAACATTATTCCGATTCGAGCTTGAACGAGAACTGTCTTGATCCGTTGCTTGAAGAGAATTTGCCCCATTCCTGCCACTTGTTAAGTTTGATTCCGCAGATACAGTTTCTTTACCCATTAACGCAGGCTACGCAGCCCAATAACAACCTTAGCTTTGAAGGATCATCTAGCAGTTCCAATCCTTCGAATGAAGCTCCATCATTTGTTTCATATGCGAGTCAATTGCCCCAGCATGGACATTTGGAATTGTCAATTGGCAAATCCTCTGGCTCGAGAAAATCCATGCGTGATGAAAACATTCTGAAGCAACGAGCAGGTTTTCCAGATTGCGAAACGAAACTTATCCGGAAGTTGAAAAGAGATGACTACAAATCAAAGAATCTTGTCACTGAAAGGAACAGGAGGACGAGGATTAAAACTGGCCTATTTGCTCTTCGTGCCCTGGTCCCTAAGATTTCCAAGGTTAACATAGTTTTATATATTTCTGCTAATACAAAAGCTATTCTCTGTTGTGGTTGTTGTTGTTGTATGGTCTTTTTCTAGTAATTCTCCATTTTGTGAATATATTAGATGGATAAAGCTGCTATTCTTGGAGATGCAATTGATTATATCGGCGAGTTGCTAAAGGAAGTAAAAAACCTCCAGGATGAGATCAAGAATGCTGAAGAAGAGGAAAGTCGAGCGAGCAACATGGAGCTAAAGACTTCAAAATTGGAGACATTTCAGGAAGGCCACGTGTCTTCCGCTAACATCAACCAGGATTCCTCTGGTTTTGTAGAAAATAAAAGGACAGAGGTATAGAAAGCTTCCAGAACATAGTAGGGTTTTTATTGCAAATCTTAAGCTCTTTTTTTTTACTTGTATATTTGGACAAAACAAGTTGAGCCGTTTAAATTTAACATACCTCACGAGACAATCAATTCTAAACTTACGATTTTTTCAGGTACAATTAGAAGTGGACCAGATTGGTAAAAGACATTTCCTCCTGAAGTTCCTTTGTGAACAGAAGCGAGGAGGCTTCGGGAGGCTGATGGAAACTATCCATTCTTTGGGGCTTCAAATCCTTGATGCCAATATCACCACATTTAATGGCAAGGTTCTGAACATTTTCAAGGTTGAGGTAAGATATCAATACTGAATCCTGATATTCGGCTAGAATCAAAATTTTGGATCCAGGTTTCACATAAATTCAGTTACCCAGAGAATTAGAGGTTGACAGGGATACATCACCAAAAACACAAGAATTTGAAAAAATAATTTCTGCAAGTACAATAACTTACATATGACAAAAACTTCAGCAGTTCTCTGCTAGAAGCACCATGTCTCTTTTTCTGCTATATTCACTTGCATCATTCTTATTTATACTAACCTGTATCTACTCTGCAAGGCGGATAAGGATGTTCAACCCAAGAGATTGAGGGAGTCACTGATCGAGCTAACAGAGCACCCAATTCAGACAGTAGGTAGTCAAATTTAGAAGAACCAGGGAGTACTTTTTCCGGAATTGCAAGTTAAAGTGGGAAAGTTGGTGGCTTCTCCGTTCAGCTAAGGTTGTTATATTGATCTACTCAACAAACTACGAGGTTTAAACATAGGCTTAACATCAATATTTGCTTTCTATCCGTCGGAGACATTATCATTCCTCCACCTTCATTGGGACTTCTTTGTAGATAGATTTTCTTCAACCAGGACCTTGTACAGAAGCAAGATTAGGGAAGTCATTCCAGAAATACTTCTTACAAATTCGTGCTTACTCAAAACCAAGAAAATGATCCTTCTATTCTATAAACACTCTCAATGCCAGCATTTTCATATAATTATAACCATGACCAGCATGATTCTCATATTATATTGTGAATGCTATGCGACTGAACCAAACCACCATATCAAAGTTACAAAAAATGTACAAGACAAAAGGTTAACCTTCAGAGGTAAAGTTAAGAATATGTTCAAATTTACATCATAAGCAAAAGCTTCCTGCAAATGTATGCAATGCAACAAAACTTTTTCCGTCTTGCTCTAGTATCAATCAGACAGGATTTAAGTGACACCCCAATTAGTAAATACATAAAGCTTTGAGTGAGATACGCTTTACAAGCCTTCTTGAAACTTCACTGCACCGTTGAGGGAGCTAAACATCGCAGTCAAATTTCACAGGAGAAGGGGGAAAAAAAACTTGACGCTAATTAAATCTGGAGAAGTGAAGTGCAAATTCTTTCAGATAAAACCTTCTGTGGTGCTATATAAAGACAATCTCATGAAGATTTACAGTTTGGCAATGTCACCTTCATCTAAAACCGGCGGCCACCATAGCTGCCGTGTCGGTTCATGGCTAGTGTTTCTGACTCGCTACTCGTGTATTCACTTGATGTTGGGGGTTCGTGGGATGTGTCTCTACCAGAGTGATCTCCACTGAAAGTGTCAAATTCTGAGCTTCCATTACTGCCAATAGCCATCCTCCTGAAGTTCCTAATCTCTTGATTGTACTGACCTGAATCATATACAGTGCTCTGGCCAAATTTCACACCATTACTGAGATCTGACAGTTCACCTTCACTATCTAATGCTCTCACCACCTAAAAGAGTGTACCAAGAAATTTAATATTCCAACTAAGAAATACAATAAAAAAGAACGATCTGCTATATTTACTATAATCAAACAGGCATTTTGCTCATTTTGGTTCTCTGTCTAAAAAGCATCCCTGACAAGATTGGATATGACAAAGAAAAATTGACAAGAGGCATATTTAAGATCACCTGCACCATGCGCGGCCGTTTTGGAGCCGAATGGCGAACACAAGCAGCAGCTGTCTCAACCATTCTAAACAACTCACTCTCCACGTAATGCTTTTCGAGTCGTGGATCAACCAACTCACCAAGTTCGCCGGTTTCAAGGGCATGAATCAGGAGTGGACGAGCCTGCCACAATCATAACAACAACACATTGTTCGATGGATAAATAGATTGCAGGGAATAGAATTTTGGAAATGCAAGTCATCTAGCTCAAGACAAAAGTAACCGGGATTCAACAAGATGAAAAATCGGCCTGTTTACAGGCATTCAGATTTTCGAAAGAAAGTTCTTTTGTTAAAAAGTTTGCTAGATTTATGAACCATATGCCGATGATGATTGGATATATAATACATGTACATAGGCACGGGCAAGAAACTAAAAGAAGTCATTTGCTTCAATGCCTATTCATACCCATTCCACCAAGCTTTCATCCCCCAAAGGCTGGCTTGCATCAACTGGTTTGCGTCCGGTTATCAGTTCTAGAAGCACAACTCCAAATGAATATACATCAGACCTATCTGTTAGTTTTCCACTGGACGCATACTCAGGTGCCAAGTACCTGAAAACCAAATTGGATATTAGTAAAAGGTGATGATTAAACCATTACTGTAGTCCAATAAATTGCAATCCAATTTGACAGACATCTTGTTCACCTTAGCTTGCCACATAAAAATTAAGCTTTCAGTCAACCTTAATCTGTACATTATCAACCAAAATGCTCTTAACCTCTATGATTTGTTTCAGAAGAAGTTAATCGATTTTATGGCAATAATTATAAGATTATCTTTATTTCTTTAGAACATCTACAATTGGAAATTCCACTTTACTACTTTTACCCACATTCCAGCATAGATTTTGTTTATAGAGGGCATTGACCATGCAGTCACTTACACCGGAAAAGATAAAGGACAGCAAGGAAATGGGGAAACAAGTGAACAGAAGACATTCCATCTAAACAGAGATTACAAGTTATCGAAAACATATATAACATACCCAAATGTTCCCATTACTCTAGTTGATACATGGGTCTGAGTAGAGTCATTTAGTCTGGCAAGCCCAAAGTCTGCAACCTGCACATAAAAATAGTTCTCAAATAATAATGCAGAACTGACTTCACAGTTTGAGAAACTACACATGTTGAGGGAGGAATCCAACGTAGAAAGTCCTAGACATGCCTGTGCTTCAAAAGCATCATCCAACAGAATGTTCGAAGACTTAATGTCTCTGTGAATAATTTTTGGATGACCTAAAGGTAGACCACAGGATAAGAGGAAAATTCATTAGCTTTCTTTTTCAAAAGAAAAATGGGAGAGAAATAGTACACCACATAACCTATTATGGGGAATAAGGATAGGAATCCATACAATCTTCATGTAAGTATGCCAAACCCTTTGCAGATCCTATGGCAATTTTGACTCTTTTAGGCCAATCTAACACTGGCAATTCTTTTGCTGCTGGCACAAATCAGGACATAATCAAGTAAAAAACATATAGCATGAGTTTTGGTAGCTAGGTATCACAACACACACACACACACACATATATAATGGAAAAGAAAAATCACCTTACCATGCAAATGATGCTCAAGAGTCTTATTTGGAACAAATTCGTAGATGAGTAAGCGCTGATTGTCAGAGATGCAATAGCCAACCAAAGAGACCAAATGTCGATGATGGACACGACTGATAATTTCAACTTCAGCCTTGAATTCCCGCTCTCCCTGTCCACTACCTGCCTTCAGTTGTTTGACAGCCACTACTTTCCCATCTGGCATGCACCCCTTGAAAACACATCCAAACCCACCCTCACCGATAATATTTTGATGAGCAAATCCGTTTGTTATCTCCATCAGCTCATGGTAGCTGAAAAAGGTCTTAGAGCTGCCAATGACTCCTGAATCAGGTCCTCCTCCGTTGTATATATTTCCTCTTTGACTCCCGTAGCTGTCAGACTGTGCAGTTTGGGAACGATAAGAGTGACTTCCAGGTCCAGCGAAACCCACAGACTGTTGTTGCTGTCCGTAATAATATCCATCTTCAATAGGAAAAACAGGAAAAAGGTGACGGATTAAATCATAAGATACTAAGCAATGGGGTCTGAGCCTCAAAAATATGTAGGCACATTTACCTGTTTTCACAGTATGGCTTTTGGGCGGCATGTAATGGCCAGAAGCATAGGGCTCCCGTCTTTTCCTACTCTTCCTAGCAACTAAAAAGATCGCCACAATTAGCCCCATAATAACCAAACCTGCGACTGCAGCAACAGCCACAGTTATGACTGTCTTGCTTCCAGCTCCATTACTTTCATTTCCTGGTGGAGTCACAGGCACTTTGGAATTTCTCACATCAGAAGAAGTTGGTGATGAGTGGCCAGATGGCGACGTTACTGGAACCGGAGGACTACGAAATCCAGATTCTGTTGGATTGTGCTCATTTGACGGAGTGCTATTTGAATCCGATGACTTGGGTGATAGATTTAAAATGGGGGGAGACAAAGAGGGTTTGGATTCTGCTGGGGGAGGAGGAGATTTTTGTGAACCTCCAGAGAGAGGTGGAGTAAAAAATGCAGCAGGAGGAGGAGGTGACGCAGGAGGAGGAGGAGGGGATTGAACAGGTGGAGGAGGTGACTCTTTCTTGGCAGGGGTAGGAGGAGGATTAGGTGATGGAGGTGGTGAGTTTGGTGAAGATTTTGGTGGTGGAGATGTTATTGATGGTGCTGATGAATTTGAGACTAATGGTGGGCTGGGAGGTGGAGAAGACTTGGAATTCGACGGAGGTGGTGAGGATGGTACTGGTGTAGGAGGGGGAGGGTTCGAATTAGTGGGTGGTGGTGAAGATGGTGTTGGTGGGGAATCAAGATTAATAGAAGGTTGTGGTGAAGCTGATGAGTCGGCATTGACTAGCTGATCATCATCATTGACTGGTGATGATTCTTCACTAACAGGAACCGGAGCTGAAGAACCTGAATCGGAGGTGGAATTTGTGCCAATTGGCGCAGGAGGAGAATTATTTGATGAAGAACCCGGCGGCTGCTTCCCCACCGAGTTCGACATTATCCTTATCTTCCTACTTATAATGAATTTTTTCTTTTCCCCCCTTTTTTCTTAAAGGAATTTTGGGTTTCCCTCAAATGCTTTCACAAAATTTTCTATAAGATTTTCTATTGTAATCAAACAAAATCTTTGTTGTTCTTGATTTCCTCCCATGCATGCATGCATGCCAATAAGGGCTGTCTAATTAAACCCAAACTACTTTCAATTTGCTTAGCTAATCAAAATTTAATGAGGCCCCTCTATATTTATAATATAACGCTGCTAATTATTTCCTTCAAAATAAGAAATCATTGAAAATGTGCTGATCATCTCCAATATTTAAGCACATTGATCAAACAACAGATCTATCTATGATCTATTTATCTATCCTAAACCCAGGAGAACCAAAAGAAAAATGTTAATGAATCACAAGGGACAAAAAATAAGAAGAACCTGGAAATGTGAGAGAGGGACTAATTAAGAATGTTGATATGCAGAAAGCAGCGATCGATCCCAAGAAAAAAGCGTGAAGGATGTCCTCTCTCTCCTCTCCTATGTTCTGTTATGTCTCACAAACTGCAAACAACCTCTCCTTCAAATTCTCTTAGCCTTTTTAAGACACATTATTTTTATTGTTCTTGTATTGTCTTTCATATTACTGCTCTCTCTCTCTTCTTCCAGGTACTTGTAGGCACGATTTCCGTTATTCCCAACTACCACTCTTTCTGTTTTTCTTTCTTTTTTTCTTTTTCTTCTTCTTTTTTTTTTTCGTTAATAACATATATATTTTTTGGTTAATACACCTATATCTCTTTCCTTGAGTTTCGGATTACCGCGCAACTAATTAAATAGGGTTGGCCCATTTTATAAAATCGCAAAATTCCGTGAAGGCCCGAGCCTTTTTGTTTTCCCTTCCTTACCGAATTAAGGTTTTATAGTTTATTTTCTTTGCATCGTGTTTAGGACTGGATAATGAGTCCGCCTCTCCTCCACTCAATATCCTCAATTTCTCTGTAAGTCCGCCTTTAAGCACGCCAGATATATGCCGTTAAAAAACATCAAACCACGTCATCCCTAGCAATTAAAAACACTTATATATATATATATATATATATATATATATATATGCATGTTATTTCTGTGCAGGACGACGTCGAGATGAGAACGATGAGTTTAGGCAAAAATAGGAGAAGCGGGTAAAAATAATTGGAGTCCTCACCTAGTATTATAGTATTATAATTATACAAAAATCCTATAACTGGTCCGTTTAGAGTTCTGGATAAAAGATTTATTATGTGTAAGGAAGATTAAAAATCATCCTACTCCGTCCTACCTAAGGCAAACCGCATTGCATACAACGTTGATTTGATTTCTATTTTTTTTTTTATGATGAAAATCTGTACTTATTTTTCAAACTTTGGCAACTAGTCGAGTGATTTGGGACTTAGCCGGTCGGAGGCTATGTCCTTACTCCGTAATGAATAAATAAGAAAATGAAAAGACAAGATGAATGTAATGATATGTGGCTAATGTGACTAAAATGCCGTGCGTGAAAATGAGACAATAAAAAAATACGTAAACATACACAATAAGCAAATCGGAAAAATAGAAAAATAGGTAAAATGAGCAAAATGGACAAATAGGCAAATAATGAAAAAATAGGCAAATAGATAAAATTGACAAATAGTCAAAATCGGCAAATCGACAAATGAGCAATTAGATAAATTAGGTAAAATTGACAAATTAGCAAATAGGCAAAATAGATAAAATTGAAAAATCGACAAAATCGGTAAATAGACAAATAGACAATTAGGCAAAATCGACAAATAGGCAAATAGGTAATTAGGCGAAATAGGTAAAATTAGCAAATCGATAAATAGGTAAATAAGAAAAATAGAAGAGATCAACAAAATCGACAAACATGCAACTAGGCAAAATACGCAAAATCGATAGATCAATAAAATCGACAAATAGGCAATTAGGTAGAATCGATAAATCGACAAACAAGCAAATAGGTAGTTAGGCAAAATAGGCAAAATATAGCAAAAATGACAAAAAAAAAGTGACAAAATTAGCAAAAATCATTTAAGTCGGCACAAGTGATGGCGAAGTTGGCAAAAATGATAAAAATAGTAAAATGAACAAAATTGGCAAAATTAGCAAAATTGATTAAAAAAAAATCATTGAAATTGGCAAGGACAAATTGAAAACGAGTTTGGATCGACTTAACTCGAACACCACTTTTTTTAGGACAAAATCAACATAATATCAAATTCATCGTCCCAATGCATAACAACAATCCAAAAATGAGACTTGAACTAACACAACTCAAAAACTACATTTTTGGGCGAATTGACGAGAATCGACACAATATCAATTAATCATTGCAACGCGTAAAAAATGTCCGAAAATGAGATTGATTCAATACAATTCAAGAAATATATATTTTTAAGTGATTTGACAAAAATATCAAAATTAATCATTATTTGAAAAAAATTATCCAAACAATTGAGTTTCGGATCGGCACGACTCAAAATTGTATTTTTTTAGATCAAATTAGCACATGAGCAACTTAATGTTATCATTAACAAAAATAGTAAAAAAAAAAGGAGTTTGGATTAATGCAATTTGATTATAGGCAACAACCCAAAAAAATTACCAAAATATTAGTTCCTCACTTCGTTTCGATATTTTTCAAGGTCTTAATCCTTTTTGTGGATGCGATACATTGTGGTGTATCATAAAAATGTCAACTAAATCATACAACCATAGCAATAAAAATCACATAACCATAGTAGTAATTTAATTAATATACGGACATATTATATGAATTAAATTTAATACGAATTAAATTAAAAGGGTTTAAAAATAAATTACTATGAAAAACCCAAATAGTTTCGACCCTTTCAACCTTGATAAAAACCGATTATTATTCGTTAATTGAAAAAAAGGACGATTGCCCGTTGTCGAACCGAATCAAACGACTACTATATCGAGGTGGTCAAAGTCTAATCGAGCTAGAATTGGTTCGATCGATTTGCCGCATACTAGGTGGAGGGGCTACCGATCGGTTGATGGATCGACCGAAGGAAAGGCTAACTAGAGCCGAACGGTTGGATCGGGCTTAACCAATTGGATTTAGCTATTGGAAGGGCTAACGAATGGTGCTAGCTTGATGGAGGACGAGGTTGGCTAGACTAAGCGAGGGAGAGGATAGATCTACTAGAGTGGCTACTACCAACCGATGGACTCTCTAGTGGATAGTGAAAGAGTGACTGGATTAGGCTGGAGAGGGGTTGAACTATCCGGATCGAGTTGTTAGAGGGCTGGTGAACAAGCTCGGACCAATTGAAGGTTCGGTTAGAGGAGGACGATTGGGTAGTTGGATATGGCAAAAGAGATTGAGCTGCTCGTGGTTGATGATGGAGGCCGCTAATGATGGTGTGGTCGCTGAAAGGAAGACCGGATGACTCGGAAAGAGGATTGGATCACCGGATCGAGCTAGATCGATCGAAGGTTTAATTGAAAAGCTATTGGTTCGGGTTGGTCCAATTGAAGTGGCCGATTGAAATTCTTTGGGGAGGGAAAGTTGGCGGGAATCTAGTTTGAGAGACAAAGTTGCTCGTAATTCTAGAAAAAAGAAAGTTCTTGGAGGGGAGGAAGAAAATATGAGTATTTATACTAAGTTTTTAGAGTTTTTTTTTAGGACAAAGTTTAGTTTGGTCTCTCATCTTGTAGGCTTGACTTATTTTGGTCTATTTCTCTCGTTTTTTTTTTAAATTACATCCCTCAATAGTATTTTTTTTAGTATCTTTCTTTTTTCTTTTCTTGTTTTGTATTTTTTCTATTTTTTGAGAAAAATTTAGGTGCTAATAGTTGCCCTTCTTTACGATACTTACGATGCACGATCATTGAAAAACTAATTTTTTTTTTGTTTTTGCATAGTAAGCTTATAAAAAAATGATAAAAAGCGACGGACAAAGAAATCAATCGACTAGGTCAAATGATAACCGGTTGTCCTTAAATCTCTAGTCAATTATGGAGGACTTTCCTCAAAACACAAGTTAACGAGTAACCATCTCCGACGTCAAGAAGGTAACCTTCCCTTGGCAATTACACAAGAGTGTAAGTGACATACCCGATTGTCATCGAAGAAACATAAATTTTTACCGCCAAAACATAAACTTTCCCCTCCTCTCCTCATTTGTGAGTCATTATCATCTAAATAGGCTTGAGGTTTTATGCTGGTCGTTCTTATTGATTTTTATCTATTTAATCACATGTCTTCCGATTATGTTCTTTTTAAAATTTTTGACCAGGCTATCATTTATGTCGTCGAATAGCATTTACTCGTTATGGTTAGGCGGATAGTTATTCGGTTTTTTCATTCTCCTAGGGTATTGCCCCCAAGTGTTTGGGCTTTTGCTAGGATATTTAAAGAAATCGACCAAAAAATCATTGAGATAGTTTTTATCATTACCATCCTTAATTCATTAGAAAGGATTTTATGCTAAGTTTCATAAAAAAAAGCCTTCTTGTCTACCAAGTCTAAGCAAAACTCGTATCATGTTATCATTTATCAAATTGCTACATCATCACATTTCATAAATGATGTAAATCATAGGATCGTGTATTTGATCAAAGAAAAGGCTTTGTAAGGATCGATCATATTTGTGAAAATTGGGCTATATTGAAAGATAGAAGAGAGCAAATCATGTTATGTTGAGTAAAGCAAGAATAAGATAAGCGAAGTTCAAATGATTGCTCAAATGAATTTTGGTCATAACTTAGATGATTTCTTTGTTACTCGTGGATAAAAGTGAAGTCGATCTAATTTGATTTTGATTTTTTTTCGGGAGACTCAACTTTTAATTGTTTTGACTTTCATGGATTAGGCCATATATACGAATAATTTCCATTGAAACATGAATTATTCAAAAGAAATCATAAAGATGTTTACAAGAATATAATTTCATTCAAGAAAATATTTGATTCATTTGGTCAAAATCTAAAATACATCA